AAATCAAGATAAAACCAAATATAAATAAGAAAGAATAAAAGTTGAAGATAATAGTAGGTTAGGAGTAAAATACTACCCCAAAATGGCATTAATTGCTATAATTTTAATACATTGCGTTCCAACTGTCTTGCATTTCAACAGCAGCCCGAGGTTACCTGGTTAAAGTACCAATTGCTGTCAAGGGAGAAACAAATCCCACTCCTAGCCCTCTGCAAATGGCAATCTAGTGTTGTCAGTAGGATTTCAAAGAAGCATAATGTTGGGCGCATAAACATCGTCAAATAAATTGAGAGAAACATCCAAGAGTACAAGTATAATCTTTGGGACTTTCGAAACTTAAAACATCCTCAGGGAGCATTCTCAGCCAATGCAACAGGAGGGCAGGCGAACATATCTACAAGATGATCACCAGCGAGAGTAATTTAAAATGATGAATTATGAGTAACCACAAGCAGTGTTTTCCACAGCATTAAAAGCCTTCAGACTTGCCTGCAATTTTGCATTATTGCTGCCAATATGCCTTGCCTTTATATAGCATGCTTCATGTAGGATTTCTCAGAGCTTCACAATGAGACGGCCAGCTGCCAAGCAAGGAAGAGTGGGACGGGGTAGATGCAGTTGGGATATGCAGTCGGCCCAAGTAAGTTGAGCGTAGGGGGCGAGCGGAGGAGTGGGGTAGGAAAAGATCACAGATAGGGAGGTGCTGGACTGTGAAGCGATCTATTCATTTTACAGTATATCCTGTGAAGCTCTTTGAAACGTCTTGAATACGTGATATGGCACTATATCAAATGCAAGGATTATTATTGTGTCAGAACCCGCCTAACCAAAGAAAAAGCAATTAGGTTATAATTTGATGTAGCGCCTTATCAAATTGTCAAGATGTTTCAGAGTGCTTCACAGGTTATATTTTAAAGTGGTTTGACTGTATATTTTGTAGGTGAAACATGACAGCCAGTTTCCCTTAAGCCACACAGCAATGGCTGAGAAGCAGTTGTAGAGTGAGTGCCCAATTTTACTTGGGGGATTGTTAGCCAGGTCACCGGGAGAGAAACTCCCTTCTCTTTTACAAAAGTGTATTTCAGAAGAGAAGGTTGTCCTCCATCTGGAAACCCCCAAAATATTTAAAGCTTATAGACAGAACAGGTGTTGCCGACTCAAATCCCAATCTGGGCTGAGATAGCTGATCCCAGTCTGGGCTGAATTAATGTCCTCAGTAAGTCGTTGGGCTTGGTGCGGGGGGAGGGAGAAGTTCCAGATCATGATCCTGATTACTATGTGCCTGTGGACTTTGGGTGAAGGCAGGATCAAGTTTGCTGTAATACCCCAATGGTCAAATAAGTAATTTGCCGGAATAATCATAAACAAATAAAAATAGTAAAATACTTGCAGAATATTAGGAGAAAGAAACAGCACAAAAAGTGTTCAATCCTTCCAACCATTTATTGTATACATGGTGATACTGGAAGAGTTTTGCCATAGTATTTAATTGTAGTAGTTAAACGGGGCGGGGGCAGAAGCAGGGTCTCTTTGGGAGTTGAACTGGCTCCAAGGTGACATGTTTGGCCATAGAATGTCGGAATAGCTCTCTGTGGCAGTCTTGGTAATCCAGTTCCTATGCCAGGAGGGTACGCAGGGCACTGCCAGCCTGGCGCATAAGTGCGACCTGGAGGGCAGTCCAGTCACTGGGGGCAGGGAGTCATCCCACTCAGGCCCTGTTAACCCTGCAAGTCAAAGCCCTAACTAGTAGGGTGGTCTTAACTGGACAAGCAGTGGGAAAGCTTGCCAGACTGCGACACCAATGGCAAACTATGTGGTTTTAACTGGTTAGCCTCCAACAGTTATCCCAACGCAAACTCTGGGGTCCCCAAGCCTTAGTTCTTGCCAAATTGCACCTAATACTTTCCGGAATCAGGTAAGCAGGATGCATCCGTCCTTCCAGGGAGACTTCCAACCATCTATTTCTGGACTTTCCAGTGTAGGTGGGATGCATGGAATTCTCAGTTTGTTAGGATACTCTTCAGCACGGGGATGGACACCCAACTGACCCCAAAATAATTAATTTAAATGTAGATGCTTCTTTTATAAGCTTCGAATTCAATAGAACTTCATCAGAAATTAGTGATTCTTCTAAGATAACCAGAGACCACAAACGTCCTCCCTTTGGGTGTAACAGTACAATCAGCTAAAACGTACTAAAATAGATTTTTTAAAAACAACTTAAAGTAGAACTGCTTCCTCACTGTGGTTAGTTATCATTCGAAATGTGAGTCACCTGAGAATACAGTAAATGCACGATCCCACCCACCAACCTAACCCCATTTCTCAGACAGCAGGACACCAAAGGCTCAGCATCCTATTTATTGCTCGGTTTCCCCCGGAGACAGTCTGGGTTAAGGGCACACTATACCAAACAAATAATAATGTAAATTGCAATTGGATACGGGACGCATTAGAGGTTGCTCCTTAAAAACTAAACCGCCGACAAGATATTTGTGAGGCACTGCTGTGCACTTTTGAAACATTTTGACATTCTATGCACGACGACGACTTCACATAGAGCAACGTCCCAGAGCGCTGTACAGTGGTGCGTGTGGCACAACGTGGAGCACGAGGTGACTGTGGGCACAGTTGAAGAGGAAGGTCTTCAGGTGCAACCTGAAGATGGGGAAGGGGGGTGCAAGGCGAAGGGGGGGTTCAAGATAGAGGGATAGAGGGATAGATTTCTGTGCCATTTCTTTCTTTCAAATGCAAGGATTATTATTTTAAAGCTACTCAAAGTTTAGCAGTAGAAATACTTTCTGAACAATAAAATGGCCTTTCAATTAATCCTTTATCAAACTTTTAAGCACAATCTGACTTCTGCCTCAGTGGCAAAGAAAACTAACCGTTTCACTTCCGCTTATGCCTTTAACTGAGCATTTTACAAAGTGTGGGGATTCAAAAGTTAAGCGCAGATTTTTTTTCTGTTTAAAAACAAAGTTTGAAACATTCCAATGGTCAATTTAAAACAAAAAATGGAGCGCAGCAGAGCAAGTGTGTGGTGGGGGGGCGGCGCGGTGGGGGGGGGGAGAATGGGAAAATAATATCTCCAAAAATTTACAAAACAAAATCTGAGTCGAAATTGTTGGGTAATTTTTTTTAAAAAAAGCAAAAGTTGCATAACTTCACAGCTCGGAAAGCGAGAAGAGAACAAATCAGTGAAATAATAATAATAATAATATTCCTTGGGTTTGATACGGGGCCTTATCGCGTCTTCGAGACGTCTCAAAGCGCTTCACGGAATATACGGCAAAGTGTACGTTTCGTGGGTGAAACGAGTTAGGAAAGTTGTGCGTGTGTGCGTGTGAGTGTGTGTGTGTGAGTGTGTGTGTGAGGTGTGTGTGTGTGAGGTGTGTGTGTGTGAGGTGTGTGTGTGTGAGGTGTGTGTGAGAGTGTGTGTGTGAGAGTGTGTGTGAGTGTGTGTGAGAGTGTGTGTGAGTGTGTGTGTGTGTGAGAGTGTGTGTGTGTGTGTGAGTGTGTGAGAGTGTGTGTGTGAGTGTGAGAGTGTGTGTGAGTGTGTGTGTGTGAGAGTGTGTGTGAGTGTGTGTGAGAGTGTGTGAGAGTGTGTGTGTGTGAGAGTGTGTGTGTGAGAGTGTGAGAGTGTGTGTGTGTGTGTGTGAGTGTGTGTGTGTGAAGGAATGTATATTGTTTAACAGCAGGAATGAGAGGCAGCGGCAGAGACAACGGGAATGACGCCTCCCAGTTGTTATGTCAGTAGGTGTGGCTGGGAAGTGAAGTGAAGTTCGAACCCAAAAAAAAAGGGCCCGTCCGCACACAAAAAAAAGTACAGTAAATCCCAGACTTAAAGCCAAATAAAAGGGGTTTATTTGTTTGGGTTTCTCACCGCGACCTGAAGCGGAGGGGAGGGGAGGGGAGAGGAGGGGAGGAGAGGGGGCGCAGCGCAACGGCCTCGATTGCCTTCTTTTTACTGCGTTTAATCTTTTTTAAAAAAAATAAAAACTTTGAATCCACCCGGAAAAAAAACTCCGGCCTTTCCCGAGTCCTGCCGAGCTGCAGCCTCGCACACTCACTCACTCACTCTCACACCGCCTCACACTCACCGCCTCACACTCACTCACTCACAACCTCACACTCAATCACTCACACTCACTCGCTCACAACCTCACACTCAATTACTCACTCACAACCTCACTCACTCACAACCACTCACTCACTCACCGCCTCACACTCACTCACAACCTCACTCACTCACACTCACTCACTCACCGCCTCACACTCACTCACAACCTCATACTCACTCACAACCTCACTCAATCACTCACAACCTCCCACTCAATCACTCACTCACTCACAACCTCACACTCAATCACTCACACTCACTCACAACCTCACACTCAATCTTACTCACACTCACTCACTCACAACCTCACTCACTCACCGCCTCACACTCACTCACAACCTCACACTCACTCACAACCTCACTCAATCACTCACACTCACTCACAACCCCTCACTCACTCACCGCCTCACACTCACTCACAACCTCACACTCACTCACAACCTCACTCAATCACTCACACTCACTCACAACCTCACTCAATCTTACTCACACTCACTCACTCACAACCTCACTCACTCACCGCCTCACACTCACTCACCGCCTCACATTCACTCACAACCTCACTCAATCACTCACACTCACTCACTACCTCACACTCCCCGCCTCACACTCACACTCAGTCACAACCCGCTTCACTACCGCCCGCGACCCCCCCTCACACTCCCCCTCACACTCTCCCCCCCCCACTCCCCCCCTCACACACACACTCCCCCTCACACTCCCCCCCTCACACACACTCCCCCCTCACTCCCCCCCCCCCCCACACACACACACAGAGAGAGTCACTTCCAAACAACTCATCGACACACACACGACATTTTTTTAAAAAAAAAAAGTGGTTTGAAATCTCTTGCGAAGAGTTTCTGAAGTGACTGACCTGACCCCCGGGGCCGCGGGGCCTCCCTCTCCCCCTCCCGCGCTCTCTCTCTCTCCTTCTCTCCTTCTCTCTCCTTCTCTCCCTCTCTCTCCCCCTCACGACGACTCGGTCTCTCCTCGAAAGGCTCCGTCCATGAAAAGTTCGCGGTTCTCTTTTTTTTAATGAAAAACGAGGGCGCAAATCACTCTCCTCACAGCTCCCGGGTGTGTGGGTGGGTGTGTGTGTGGGTGTGTGTCCGTCCCCCCTCACTCCTCCCTCCCTCACTCCTCCCCCTCTCCCCCTCCGCCGTCACTCCGCTTCCCTCCAACCGCCGTCCCCAAGATGGCGCTGTCCCGTCCAGGGACCGGTCCAGAAACCCCGAAAGTAGCCCAAAGGCCGCCCGGCACGAGCCCAAAAAGTAGCCCAATTCTGATGCAGCAGAGCGTGTGGCCCCAATTGTAGGTTTTTTTTTAACATAACGACGATAATAATAATAATAAGAAGAATAATAATAGCAATAATAATAATAATAATGTTGGCATTTTGATTCTCGACGTCTCAAAGCGCTTCGCGGGAATAGGGCCCTAAAAGCGAACCGACCGTTTATATTTGGGACGTCCTCCCGACGTGAAAAGCGCTATATCAAATGCAAAGATTATTATTATTATTATTTATTATTATTATTTGTGGGCGAAACGCGGAAGCCCCACAGCCGTGGATTGAAAATGACCGAGTTATCCTTATCGTTTTTTTTTTTTTTGGCACCCAGCCCGAGCAAATCCGCCGACGTCGTCCCGTCTCCTTGCATTTTTATCGGACTACCGAGCCTTGTCGCGGCGTAGAGACGGCGCAAAGCGCTGCGCAGGATATACTGTCAAACGCAGTGATTGGGCATTTTTTGCGGGTGAAACCCAGCCGCCGGTTTGCGCAAAGTCCCTTCTTGAATTGTGCCACGTCCACCCGGCACAATGTTTAGTGTCCGCCTGAACAGGTAGACCGGACCTCGGTTTAACACCTCACTAAAGGATGGCACCTCTCACGACGCAGCACATCCCCACTCAACTCAACACCAAACCCCAACGCAGTCCCAACAGATCGTCAACGGCTGAGATTTCGTCCACTCACTCACACCCTCCTCCAAATATTGTGCTTTGCCGCGGCAAGCGCTAGGAGCAGTCCAATTTCACAACGTGCATTCGTACTAGTTTGTACAATTATAAATTCATACAAGTTTCGCCCCCAAAATACAGTCAATCCACTTCACAGTAGATCCTGTGAAGCACTTTGAGACGCCTCAATAACATAAGGCGCTATGTCAAATGCAAGGATTATTAATAATAAATAAGACTCGCATTTGATATAGCGCTTTTCACATCTTTTCATGACTCAAAGCGCTTCACAGAATACACTGTACAGTGAATTGACTGTATATTTGTGGGCGAAACACAGCAGCTAATTGCGCACAGCAGCGTCCCACAAACAGTCATGGATTGAAATGACCAATTTATTATTGTGTGGAGTAAGGAACCTTGCCCAAGGTCTCCTCACCCTGCCGGGAATCGAACCCAGGTCTCTTGCTTGATGAGGTGAGTGCTCTAACCACTGAGCTACAGCCTCCACAGGTCTGTAATACAGGATTATTATTATTATGATTATTAAGTGCCTTCATACAGGTATGCTCCATCAGTGCCTCCATCTCTCTTAATTCGTCTTTCTCATGCCCCTCCAATTCTTTTCTCTGTCATGTATGCCTAAGTTTCCTCTTAAATAAATTGATGCTTTCTGCATTCACATTTCTTTCCGGTTTATATGCAGTAATAATCCTTGCATTTGGTAAAGCACCTCATCAGGTCTTCAAGACGTCTCAAAGCAGGATTAACTGTAGACTGTAGCATAGTGTGTATCCGCTACAGCCGATATGTGCACAACAGTGTTCCACAAACAGAGAATTAACAATTTTGTTCTCTTATCGAATAGTGCCATCGGATCCTTAACGTATACTTGAGCAGACGGGACCTGGAGTTAACATCTCATCAGAACAATGGCACCACCAGTGATGAAGTGCTGGTGACACATCAGAAGGAAGTCACCTCCGTCAATGCAATGGTATTTCACATTCTAACACCCCTGTATGTGTGTGAAAGAAAAACTAACCTGCCACCCCATCCCCAAATTGCAAACTTGTCTCACCCTTGCTTTGAGCTCTATGATTATGTCCTTTCTATAACCAGGTCCTCTAAACTGAGAATACAAATACATATGAGAATCCTTTAGTTAATGAACTTTAGAAACAAAAAATAATAATAATTTGGTCACTCAATCACGACTGTTTGTGGGACACTGCTGTGCGCAATTGGCTGCCGCGTTTCACTCACAAAATACAGTCAATCCACTTTACAGTATAGTCTGTGAAGCGCTTTGAGACATCACAAAGACATGATAAGGCACTCTATCAGATGCAAGGATATTATTATATTTGGCTGTAATATAATTCATCATAAGTCATTATTTTATAACATTATATTCAGATTGTTCTAGCAAAAGTTTTTTTAAAACAACTTTCTGGCAAAATGTGCATTAAGACATATACAAAATGTGGACTTTATCACATGTATAATCAATTATAATCATTATTGTCTGCGTAACTGCAACCTGCTTATTAGGAGAATCCATTGTGATTCGGGAGTGCATCAAAAATGGAGAGTAATTAACAAGAAACAGATATTTAAAGAGGTAGATGTAGCCTCCTATTGCTTTTGACCTTACACACTTGCAGAAATCACTCAACGCTCACTTGAAATTACAGGTATCCCCAACCATCTATTATCAGCTATGTAATTAACACACAAATAAAACAATGACATTGTATTTTAGAGAATAAGGCGTAAAAGAAACATGTTTTTCTCCACATGAACCACATAATCTAATCCAACCTCCTCCTGCTCCCTCCCCGTACCCATCAACATTCCTACTATAAAAAAAGCTCTCTCCAATACAGTTTGGAAAGAACTTACTGACTCTGCTCCAACCAGGGTTGCAAGGCAAAGACGCATCTTTATTTTAGTAAAATTGTGTGAAGAAAAATGCGGTTGCTGCAGAGATAACAGCTCTGCTACATTTCCTCTGTAGCCCTTGCAGTTTGAAGAGAAGCCTTAAAAGGCTAACATGTGAGATGCAGTTATTATGTTTAACAAATCGACTTGCAACATACTGGGACCTTCACTGCATCTAATAATACATATCAACATTATCTTGGTTCAAGACAGTGTGGGGACGTTCCCAGGCTGGGATTTGAGCTCACATGGTCTAAGATGACACTCCAACGCGGTGCTGTGGTGGGGTGGGGGTGGGTGGAGGGGCAGTGGATGAACTTCGGATGACTAACCCGAGGTCTCATCTGCTTGTTCAGGTGGACGCTAAAGGTCCCACGGCACTATTCCAGGATAGGATTCCTAATATGGGATCCGGAGAGGGGATCAATCGGCCCATCTCGAGCCTGATTCAGCAGTTTTAGATTTTGGCAGACCTTTTAATCCCAATGCACAATCCTGTCACCATAGCCCAAATAACTCTAGTACCCAAGTGTATGTTCAACAATTCTTAAACAAACAAACAAACCAAGAAAAATTGCATTTATATAGTAGTGCCTTTTATATTGGGAGGATGTCCCAAGTCACTACAAAACACAGTTATTATACTTTGCAGTATATCCTGTGCTGCTCTTCGAGTCGTCCTCATGAAAGGTGTTACGTCAAATGCAAGGATTAATTATTATTCTCTCTTTCAAACATCTCTATTGCTCTACTGCTTTCTGGAACAGAGTATTCGAGATCTCGACAACCCTGTGCGATTACATGCTTCCCGACCTCCGTTCTGACCATCTGTTCTAGTAATTCCTTTCAAGCGCTTTGAGACGTCACAAATATATAAGACACTATCAAATACAAGTATTATTGTTACCATCATCATCACATCTCTGATCTCCCATTTTAACTCTTTCAGCCCTTTGTTTTCTCATCTCTTTGATTATCAAAATGTCTTTATTTCACTCCAAATTCAAAAGGTGACAGTATGTTCTGGCCACTGTTAATCTAAATTAATTTTGGAATATTCCAAATTTATGGTTTGTGGCATCCACGTCTGCCATCATAATATTCAATTAATTTCTAATTATAATCCCATTTTCATATGTAAGTAGTTGTTGTAACATATGCTTGACTATTAGTTATTCTTTACATACACTATATATAACGATTCTGAACCACAAGGGTTGCGATTCCAATCAGCATTCTTCTTCAGCAGAAGGCTGATCAGTTCTATTTCTCTACACTTAACAGCTCAGTGCCTATGCAAATGGCTGAGACCACATTCCAGCTTCAGATTTCCATGTGTTAATAATTCGACAAGCAGCGGTAAGAGTATAGGGTTTATTGCATAAGATGAAACATAAGCTTTAATAATCTGTAATCAAATTATACTACATATAACAACAACAATACAACACATATATGCGAGCAACAACAACCACAACAACAAGATAACATTTGTATAGCGCCTTTCAGGTCGGGAGGACGTCCCAAAGCACTGAGCAAAACATTTACCACACAGCATGCACACAGGGATTGCTCAGTATCCAGACAAACAACACACCTCAAAATAATAACCAGCAGAGATCAGCCCCTGGAAATCCCTCAGGGACAACTGATTCTGTAACACAAAACTTTGGAAGACGGACAATCCCCAGTACTGTATTTTAACCGGCACTTGTACAGAGTTCAGCCTCTGGAACATACACTATATATAACGATTATGGTTACAGCTGATCCTCACAGTACCTTGCAGCTCTTAACACTGAATACTCAAAGTCACAGAGAATGGCCCTATCTTCATCAGGATATCCAGCGTACACCAGCACCTCTCTCGTGCTGCCTATCTACTGAGTCTCAGACCCGGCACTCGTTTCCGTAACCAACACTTAACTGAGACTGGCGTCCAGTAAAACCCTCGGACCCGGCAGCAGGTATCTGGGTCTCACTTCGTACTCCGGATGCACCCAAGATGATACTTTAACGAACTTCTGCGCAGAGATCAGCCTCTGGAGTTACCCCTCAGATGCAACTGACTCTCGCAATATCAACAATAAACTGGGACTGGCGTCCGGTAAACCCTCTGACCCAACCAGTCATACACAACAACAGTAGCACTGACGATACAGGGACGACAACACGTATCCAGGCACTGTTTCATACTCCAGACCAAACAGTAGACCTGGGATCACACCTTGACATACACTGGAGAGATCACAGCACTATCACATCGAGTCACAGAGTGTGGCTCCTGTAACTTAACAGAAACAATCAGCTCTGAGCCCAGCACCTCACTCGTACTGACTAACCTGACTTCTGTGTTTCAAACGGAACAACCACTACTACTGTTATTACTTCTATGCCTAGCAGACAGAACTGAAAACACACTATAATAATAATAATAATAATCCTTGCATTTGATATAGCGCTGTTCACGTCAGGAGGACGTCCCAAAGCGCTTCACAGAACACACTGTAAAGTGAATTGACTGTATATTTGTGGGCGAACGCGGCAGCCAATTGCGCACAGCAATGTCCCACAAACACTCGTAGATTGAAAATGACCAATTTATTATTGTTTTTGGTTTTGGAGGGATTATTATTAGGCTCTGTGTGGAGTAAGGAAACTTGCCCAAGGTTTCGCCCTCTGCCTGGAATTGAACTCAGGTCTCTCACTTGCAAAGCGAGTGCTCTAACCACTGAGCTACAGGACTCCACTACCCACTACTCCTCCTCTTTCACTTTTAGTGGTCACTTTCTTACTGGAGGTAAATTTCTTCACCCCTGTACACTATACATAGACACAATAGAATCAATATTGATTCCAATGGGAAGTATGCTGACCCTCTACACAACTCTGTATTAATTCTGTAAGGTCAGCATGAGTTGCCCGTTGTTGTAATTCGTGAACCAAACGGCGGACCCAACTCACTGAGCCAATTAACACTATGGTTACTATCATTTGGACAATAATGATAATGGGCATCCAACTGCTGTTCGTTGGGACTGGGTAACATTGATCCCGTGAACCTTAGGACATGGAGTGGGTGTTGGTGCAGCACATGTCACGATGATCCAGATTGCTAATGAGTACGACGCTTGCATCCTTGGTTCTACTTCTGTAAAGGAACAAGCATATTACATGTTACTTATACAGCTTTAACTGATTAATGTGGTGCCATCGGGCATTCTTTTTCCCTTTGGCGGTGTAATGTATCAGGTACACCGATGGGCTGGCTTTGTCCACAATAAAAAAGAGGCCTTTTTACTTCGGGCAAAAGTGGTGATCCTTTTTTCCCGAAGTCCAGGACCATCACCATGCTGCCCACATGATACTCCTCTGCTTTGACCTTTTTATCAAACCATTTCTTCATTGCTTTCCTTGGCTTCCCGATATTAGTCGCGACATACTGATTAGTTCGCTGGATACACTCTTTGATTTTCCGCGCCCAATTTTCCGCGAGGGCCCCCAATTGGATTGGTGTCAGATTAGGTAATATTACCTGCCCTGGGGTAACCATTCCCCTCTAGGCGGGGGGTTGCGCTGTAAACACACCAAGCATCGACTAGTGCGGACAACAATATCCTCCCCCATTCTTGGCCGCCTGGTTGTGTAAAATGAGTTGCAAAGTTAGATCAGCCGAGATGTTGCCCAGAGGCAGGGTGAGCATGGAACACGGCAAAAATTTCATCCGCCAGTGATGGGGGTGCGCAGACCACCGGTACTTTGTCGGGTGGTATATACATTAGGACAACTGGTGCGTTAGTGAGGACCGAAATACTGCGGTTTGGTGAGCCCAAGGGATGGGTTGAGGCAGAGGCTGTCCTGCTTTATGCCACTCCAATATGGTGGGGTATGGGACATGAGCAGTCTGTAACGCCACCAAATCGATAGCTGCGCACTGTTGTCACCTCGACGGCTGATCCCGTCAGGGTTGGTGGCTTCCATAAGTCTGCCAGTCGCACCTCTCATTTGGCCGCTCTGTCGGCTGCCTGGTTACCCATGGCGTGTGGGTCTGATGTTTTTGCCTGTTCCTTTACTTTACCCGAAAACAGTGGGGTGAAGCGTTCGGGTAACAGTTGCCACGGATGCCGTGTAAATCCTCACGTAGTAGGGTTTCGCCATCTGGTGTTTTAAAATTATTGGCATAATAAAAGGGAAGCATAGTGACGGTGCTCACCACGTACAGACCAAATGTTCGCCGGTTGATCCCGAGTCTGTGTGACTGCCTCGTAGAGTGCAGCCAGTTCCACATATTGCGCAGAGTGTGGGTGGCACTGGAACAACACCACCGGTTCAGAGTCCTTGATCACCACGAGCCCAGTATATGGTTTACCCTGGATATGGAAAGAGGATGCTTTGATGTATACGTCGAGTCCGTCGGGAAGCAGTTGGGGCTTCAGAGCCATTACCCACTCGACAGTTGGGTGCGTGGCAAGGGATACCGACCGGTGGGGCGGTCCGCATAGTTCAAAATGTGGGGCAGGAGCCTGGTGTGGTTTGACGCACAAGACGGCATTACATTGTTCAATTGCCGGTAGTTGATGGTCAAATGCCAACTGCCATCGCACTTTCGGACTGGCCATATCGGGGAATTTACTGTGAAGGACCCCTTTCCAAATCACTCCTTGTTCTAGGAGTGATTCAATGGTGGCGGCAACATACGGGTGGCTGCCTCGGGCAATTGGGTATTGCCTGCACTGTCGATGTGGTGGCCGTTAACGATTTCGGGAGTGGTCGATTTCCCGCAATCGTACTTATGTACGTCGAGGACCCAGGGCACTTGTTGAAAATTGCCTTGACCTGGTCATCTGGAAATATTACCAGGGGGTACTGCTCAAACCTCTTTATGGCATTTACCGCATGAGAAGCCCCGATAGTCACCGGGTATTCCTCTCCCCAGGGGGTACCCCATCCATAAACACTGATTTGCGTAGTCGACAGTGATTGAATAGGTTAGCAGTACATCAGATCCCAGGATACCCCGTCCGGTGGGCAGCTTCATGGCGACGTAACGGACAAGGGATCCTGTGGAAATGTCAGATCACAGTCGGTTAGATCTACTGCTTGTTGGGAGGTTCTGCTGAACCCGCTCAAAGAGCGACCTCTATTCACGGCATGCCGGAATTTAGTTGGGTCTTTAGGGCGTAGGATAGTAATTTCAGACCGTGTCAACCAGCATAAGTTGTGGGGGGCCTCTGTTCACCACTGGTTTGACAAAGGATCGATTACTAGCTACTGGCTCAAAAGGGATGGATTGTTGAGTTATCGGGGGGGGGCCGTGGTACGTCCCCTCCGACCATCTCACATTGTCCTTAGACGGCTGGGAGACTCGTGCTGCAGGGAGGGGTGGTGCTGAAGCTCTCGCTGCACTCAACATACTGTTCGAGCTCCCGTTATTCCCCGTTCTTCTGCCGATCATACCATCAATTTTCCCGATTGCAGTGCCCAAAAGATCCTCCAAGCGTGCGAACCTGAGGTGGGGGTTGGACAGTGGTTGTGGTAAGCTACTTTGAGGCGTAAGAGGAGCGATTTCCCCCGAGGCCGAATCCCTGAGGACAGTCCCGAGCCCAGTGACCATCCTGGCCACACACAAAACGACAGCTGCCCCGATTCTGTCAGTGGCCCTGCCTCCTGCGTAGCTAAACCGACAGTTGCCCGAACCTAGGTGTGGGGACCGCCACAAGTTTGGTCTGGGGCGCACACCCTTCCTTCCTAGCATCTGTGTCGGTGTTACCCATTCGACAGTTGTTCCACGCCTGAGTAACTATTCAAATTACATCCTCCCATTCTGCGTCCCCTGATACCGCCATTCCTAAAGTGGACCGAACTTTGGGGTGTAATTTTGTCAGGAATTCTTGCTTATACATTCATAAAGGATGTGGATGGTCTTCCGCTGGGGTGTAAGCCTATGACAAGCTGAATAATTCAAACAGTCATTTGTCAAACACCAAGGGGTGCTCTCTCAGATGTCGCTCTGCCTCATAAAAGTTTGTGTTCTATATTATCGATACCCAGGGCAGTTTCCATTCCATTTTTAAGCTGAGTATAAGAGGCATCGTTTGTGAACAGGTACTCTGGGAGGCATCCCTGTAATTCTGGCTCCAATGCCCCGAGTGCTTTAGATCTTTCTCATCCCGTTCAGGGTGGCGCTGAGCAAACAAGCTAACTTCCCGTCGAAAGGCTAATGGGTGTTTTCCTGATGGAATCCTGCCTAATGATGCTATCATTGCCTGACAGTCGCTTCCCTGTATCGGGGTGAGCTGACGGTGTGATGGATCACGTCCCCAGCTCATCCACAGCCAATAGATAATTGGGCAATAGTATGGTAAGAGATCTTGAACCAATAGATAATAAAAAAAGTAGAATTGTGGGATTGACAGTATTTTCCTTTAATTCCATATAATGTGTTCAGCTTTCATTATTTCCGATGACTTTTTCATTGTTCAACTACATTAGAGAATACAACCTTCATTATAGCTCCTTTTCCATTTACTAAGATCCTAAGCAAGTTAGGCTCCTTTCATCTATATTTAGCTCTAGAGCCTCTCAATTCTGTTCTTCACTTGGCCAATATCTACGAAAAAAGGTGAGGTGATATCCTAAGTAGTACACTCTGAAAATGTATGTAAATAACTCAACTTATTTCAAGCTTCGGTAAAACTGTGTTAACTTTTGTAAACAATTTCTCAATTTCTGATTTCACAGCCTTACAAACTATATTGACTTGATTCAATTGGTCAAACTAAGGAAGCAAAGCTTTGCAGAGTAAAAGTTTCAGATAATGAAGTGTAAAACATAGTTGCTCCTTCCAATAGCCCAGTAAATCCCAGTGTAAAGGTTCTTTTTGAGGAGGCGGAAAGATGGAGAAGCACAGATCCACAAAATTTCGCCTCTGGGCAATTAAGGAAAAGTCAGTCAGTATTTTCCTCAAGGATCGATGGATAGTAATTAGAAGGGAAAATAGCTCATTATGATCATGTAGGTATCTTAGGAAATGTATCAGAAGCATGAATTGGAGAGAACAAAACTATACCAACAAATTCAACATTGTCTCATTGAGACTACAAAATTCTCACTTGGCTGTTGGTATAACAGTAAGTAAATAATGGCTTAAGATGCAATCCAAACATATTATACATCTGCTTTCAATTTGCAATGTTGCTTTCAAACTTAAAATACAGCTGCAACATTCTCCATGGAAACATTTGCTCTATCGCAGAATCATTTGTTATATATAGCAAGAGAAATGTTGGTTTCTACAAATATGTAGAGTTGCTGATTTTTGGCCAATGTTCCTGGCTTTGACAGCTGCTGGCAGCAGATGTTAATACCGGTCACAGCACATTCTGCAATCAATAAAAGGGGTTCCTAGACAGGAGTAATATTCCTTTAGAATTCAATAGATATGCAGTGATTTTGAAATGCATGATTTTGTCCAGTCTTCATGATTGATCCCCTCAACTCTGTTCCATTCCTGCCATTAGAGATGATGCCAGCGACTCCACTGTGAAGTTAGAGGACAACTCTGATTAGTAACTAAAAACACAATTGGCCATTAAATTGAATACTTGATGTATCTAAGAGGAAGAAAAGTTGTCTGAGATTGACTTCAGTTAGAATTAGGGCAGCAAGTTTGTCACAGCGGAAAAATATCATGGATACTGTGACCTTTCTGCTGGACAAAACCCGCTGCCCGTACATTTCCCTCATTAACTCTCTACGACCCCATTGCCCCCACCCCCGCCCAGCTCTCCTGGCTCCCCATCCCTCAGAGGATCAAGTTCAAAATCCTCGTCCTCGCTTTCAAAGCCCTCCACAGCCTTGCCCCTTCCTATCTCTGTGACCTGATAACCCCATATCAACCTGTCGCTCCCTCCACTCAGCAGGTTCAGGCCTCTACCCTCCCTTACCCAACACCCCCACCGCTCAGGTCCAAATCCCTGACTGTCCACAGTGCCTTGGGATGTCCTCCCCAATATTATATAAAATAATTTTGGCAATTAACTTTGAGGGAGGCCAGCGTATACGCTTTAATTCAAGTGGAACATGGAGGAGGCTGGGCTGTGTGCACAGGTGCCAGCCTCTCAACAACACAAAATTACTTTTGTCTAGAGCCTTTCACTTCCCAAGGCACTGGACAATCAGTGTTTCGGACTTGTGCTAGGGGTTGGGATCAAGGGAGGGGACTGCGGGATGGAGTTCCAGAGGGTGGGGGCAGAGCGGCTGAAGGCCCACCCACCAATGGTGGAACGAGCGAGGCGGGGGATGTGAAGCAGGCCGGAGCCCACCAAACGGGAACACAGTTTAAACAGAGATAACAGATCTACGATCTGCTGATCTACGATTGAGGAGCAACCACCAGATATCAGGCAACTTGTTGCCAGCCTCACGTCATTCTGTGGTGCCAACATCCACCAGAGACAAACCATGAGATAGATATCAGTCCTTTCACACTTACCTCAGACTACTCCGGCTAACATCACAATGTATTGTGATATTATATTATTATTGTTGTAGATGAAAAATATAGCAACAATAATCCTTGCATTTGATATGGCACCTTATTAGGTCATCAATCAAGCAAGGTCAACCTGGGACATGCAAACAGTTCTCACAGATACGCACACATCCTAGACATTGATAATAATACTTGCATCTGATATAGCGCCTTATCACGTCATTGATATGTCTCAAAATGCTTCACAGAATGTATTATAAAGTGAATTGACTGTGTATTTTGTGGGCGAAACGCAAAAATTTTGAAACATTAGGAAATATTTGCAGGTATGAAGACCGTATAATTGAATTTCCATATCCGGACTTCTCCCAACATTTCCCCGTAAATCCTGGTCATTCATTAAATTTACCGTGACTGCTCCAAGAGTTGACAAAAATACCGTGACAAATCTGCAGCCCTAAATAATCTACAATTGGTGTGCAGTAGTCCATTTTGCCCATTTGTTAGCCTGACTCAAGTCAGTAGCTTTCTCGTCTCTGAGTCAGAAGGTTGTAGATTCAAGACTTACATCAGGCCTTTGAGCTCATATCTCTAGGTCGACACTCCAAGGCAATATTAGGGGTGCCGTCTATTGGATCAAACCAAGATACCGTCTGTCTGTTCGCATGACACTAAATCTTTCATCGCACGATTCAAAAAGAAGGGAATTTCTCCCAGTTTCCTGATAAACACTTCCTCAGATAAAATTAATTCTTCGCTTTATGGCTATCTGCTGGTTTGCCGACAAAATCAGTCACTACACTTTACAGTGAATCACATTAAGCACTTTGAAACATTGACACGGAAAGGCGCTATATCAAATGCAGGACAGACATTCGATCATTTGGGAGGAAGGGAGGGGCGGGTGGCAAGAAGGCAAAGTTAGATAGGCATTCTGAAATCGTGGTTAATTTACCTTTGGGCTACAACTGCTTTTCCTCAACATATTAAACAAACATTCTGCACCTGTTCCATGCTCTCTTACGTTTTTAGTGAACCCCATTTATTATTGAAAGGCGATATGCAGCCAGCCTTAGGCATTTTATGTTGAATCAAATGAGTATGAAAGTTCACCATCTACCCACATTTATCACAGACGAAAGCCAAACGTGCTGCATTACTCAGATGAGAACTGAAAAAAAAATGTATACTGCAATTTCCTTTTCAAGATTCGCATCAAACCATATCCTCTGGTGTTTCAGTTGCCTCAAATATATGTTGTTGAAGTTGTGGTACTTTCTAGCAGATTAAGTCCAGCGCTGTTATATATCAAATGCAAGGATTATTATTAATATTATAATTATAACACTACATTACAGCAGGAATTTGGTTATAACATGATTTCAGTGGACCAATGCCATTTACTGTGCATGTGGCCAGCCAGCCTGCTTCTTACGCTATAGCCAGCTAGCTTTCATTTTAAAATGGCAGATTTCTTGTTCCTTAGGAAAAAATGTTAGTGGCAATGTATTTTGTTGCACATGCTAGCTGTCCTGGGCAGCGAAACCACTTCATTATCGCACATGCGTTGGGATTTTACAGATCCCAATAACTGTCCCAATTTGTGGAGCCCTGTAGCTCAGTGGTTAGAGCACTCTCTTTGCAAGTGAGAGACCTGAGTTCAATTCCAGGCAGAGGGCGAAACCTTGGGCAAGTTTCCTTACTCCACACAGAGCCTAATAATAATCCCTCCAAAACCAAAAACAATAATAAATTGGTCATTTTCAATCTACGACTGTTTGTGGGACATTGCTGTGCGCAATTGGCTGCCGCGTTCGCCCACAAATATACAGTCAATTCACTTTACATTGTGTTCTGTGAAGTGCTTTGGGACATCCTCCCGACGTGAAAAGCGCTATATCAAATGCAAGGAATATTATTATAACTGCGGTATAACAAGGTTTATTATATATATAAAATTATTATTATTATATATACTATATGCAGCAAATCACTCGTGTGAAAAGCATATGTTCAAAGATAATTGAAAAACCTTCCCCAAACTACACTGAACTTTCAACAGATCTGTAAAGAAAGTTAGGATTTACTCACGATGAGGAAATGATCCTCTACAAACAGCTTTGTTTAGTACTGTTACCAGGAACATGTGGCAGTTTTTGAAGTCGGACTCCATCTTTTCAATGGACTCGATTCTAACAAATAAAAATAAAATTAGTTTAAAAAACTGAACTCTTCATCTGCTTTAAGATCACTCTTTTAGAGCAAAAAGATTCACAAATTATGGAAATTCTTAAATTAAGTTGTAATTTGCCAGTTTTTCTGCAATTCTTAAAAAGAATTTTTAAGTTCCCTTTGTTGGAAAGGGAACAGACATTTTGTAGACCGATGCGGAGGAGACAGTTGGTGGCGGAAGGTGGGGGGGCGAGGGAGAGGACTAACAAGGAGGGTGGGGATGTGGATCAAGGAGGAGAGGTTAGCCCCCATGGTCAGAGACTGCTAAGCCTTGCGGTGAGAATTGGGTATAGGGCAATCAAAGTGGCTGCTGTTGAACGGCTAGCGGTGACTCCCACGGTGGCCCCGAGGAGGATTCGCAGGCTGGAACAGAGGGAGGCAGTGGGTCGGCCTAGCAGGGATAGGAGTCGGGGAGGGCGGTGGGAGAGGAGGACCGGGCGGGAGTAAATGAGGGTAGGTTCAGGGATGGGGGCATTATGGGGAAGCATCTCAGGTCGGTGGCAGCAGGCAAAATGCGCACGTCGAGACTAAAAGCGAGTGGCGGGTGTGGAGGGTCAGCGAGGCATGGTTAGCCCACTGGTGAAGACCTTCCTATTCGAGCTTGCTTACAGCCACCCTCCGCTCCCCCCGGCTCGGCATCTTGCTCCGCCACTGTCAAGCGCTCTGGGACGCTACCCTGCATGAGGGGCGCTATATAAATGCAAGTTGTTGTTATTTCGCCACTGATAAGAATGCCATTGAAAATGTGTTCAACAGCATAATAAATGGATATAATTCACTGAAAGGTCTCCGATTTTTTTTTGTCAGCCTGACACATGCAGAAACCCATCACAAAGCTTCAGAGTATCCAAACCAGACAGTGTATGCAATCTACATATGGAAATTTACCCATGGATGGAATGTGAACTCTCCTGAAAAGGATGTACACTGTTTATCTAATTCCCAGAAGTATTAGGAGCAGACTGGCAAGTGTCTAGGCTTGGGGACTCCAGAGTGTTCTTGGGATAACTGCTGAAGTTTACAACAACTTATATGGCAGCCTTCATGAGGGTAGTGTCTCAGAGCACTTGGGTTTAATCAGCTAAAACCACAGAGTTTGCCACTGTGAGCACTGTCTGGCAAGTTTCTGCTTTGGTCACTTCCTTATAGAGCGAGCTCAGTCCAGATAATTGTCTGAAAAAGTACCAAGCTTTCAGTTTCTATTTTGGAGCACATCCCCCACACCCTGTGTTCCTGAGCTCAGTCATCCTCCCATGAAGAGAAAGACTAACCAGAAGCCAGAATCACCCAGACCACACTCAAACACGACACACCATCTAGAATGATCAGAACAGTGGGTTCACCATGGAGTGCTCCCTTTGACAACAACAACAAAATTACATTTATATAGCGCCTTTCACATTGGGAGGACACCCCAAGTCGCTGGACAGACAGAGTTACGGACCCAAGCTGAGGGTCGGGGTGGGGGAGGGCGGGGGGGGGGGGAAGCAGGGAGTTCGAAAGCACGGTCCAAGCGGAAGGTCTTGAGCTGGATCTTGAAGGTGGCGAGGGAGGGGGTGAGCCGGAGAGACGACAGGAGGAGTTCCAGGCTACTCAGGGAATGCATACATACTCTGGAGCACCTCTATCCCACCGCCTTGCCCTTTCGTATCCCATCTTCAGATCCCACCTGAAAACCTTCCTCTTCGACAGTGCCTACGTTCACCTTCCCATCCCCCCCACTCTGGCTCGGCGTCATGCTCTGCCACTGTCAACACTCTAGGGCACTATTCGGCGTGAAGTACGCTATATAACTGCAAGTTGTTGAGTAAACAAGATTTCCTCAAAAAATTAAATTTGATCATATTACAACAGTAATCAATACAATTTAAGACCAGACAAAAACAAACGTACTTTGAAACACCTAGTCCTGCTTGCCATCGATCCGCAAACATAAGGACCAAATTCAGAACTTTCATAATTGCTTCTTTCACAAAGCTGATCTGGAAAATAAATCGGAACATAAGACAATCGAGTACAACTATTCAAAGCAAAACACGTTGTTCTGAAAGGAGCACCAGAATACTTCTGACCGAAGGTCATTGACCTGTAATGTTAACTCACTTTCCACTCTCCATAGATGCTGCCTGACTTGCTTGAGTATTCCCAGCAACTGCTGTTATTACAGAACATTCTATTGTTCTAAATATTTATATTAATCTGTTCAATGATCACAGAAACGAGCTTCCAAAAATAGTCACACAGTCAAGTTTTCTTGTTGTCAATGTTTTCTCTCCTTATAGATGTGACCAGCAAACACTTCATGGTTTACACTAGAATTCCATTACACAATTAAGCAGAACTTCAAAACACATCGCTCGCTCACCTTTTCTCTGAGTAGACATCGATCATAGATTGTGGACAGATATCTGTAATGAATTTTTATTAATTGGTCCAAATCTTTGGCCTCCTCAATTTGATGCTGAAACTCCAAACCTGTGCTGTGTAATATCTGAAACACAAAAGCTCCAGTGAAATTCAGTTGTCAATTATAGCTATTCACCACCTACATCTTTAATTTAAAACTACAGCCGATATGTTGCTTTGAGCACGGCAGCAGTTCTCAGGTGCACAAAAGCAGTAAGATGCAGGTTCTGAGCCACTATTTCCCATTCAATAAGTTCACTATCTCTCCTATCAAAGGGTGAGAGGAGGGGAGAAGACCAGCTGAAGTGACTTGTGTATTTTGTGGCTGAAACATTTTCTCATGCACAACTGCATTTTTTCTACACCAAGAGTTCAGAGAGGTGTTTCCCTCTAGGACAGAGGTTCTCAAACTGCAGGGCCTCCCTAGGGAGGCACGGGCATGGACCAGGGGAGGTACCAGTTGCAAACAACAACAACTTGGATATATATAGCGCCCTCCACGCTGGATGGCGTTTCAGAGCGCTTTACAGTAACAGATCCCGGGACCGAGCCGGGGGTGGGGGGGGGAGGAAGGTGACCAAAGGCGCGGTCGAAAAGAAAGGTCTTCAGCGGAGGCCTGAAAATGGGAAGGGAGGGAGCAAGACGAAGAGAGTGAGGAAGGCAGTTCCAGAGCCTCGGGGCATAGTGGCTGAAGGCACAGCCGCCGAGGGGGGAGCGGAGACCTTGGGGGACGAGGAAGAGGCCAGATCTGGAGGAACGAAGGCAACGGGTACTGCACTGAGGAGAGAGGAGGTCAGAGAGGTCGGGGGTGCAGAGGAGTGCAGGGACTTGAATACGAGGGTGAGGATCTTGAAATCGATCCTCTCTGGGATAGGCAGCGAGTGCAGTCTGGCCAGGACTGGGGGGATCGGGGAGCGGAGTTTGGTGCAGGTGAGAATGCGGGCGGCAGAGTTTTGAATGATTTGGATTTTATAGATGGTAGTGGATAGGCGGCTGGCGAGGAGGGCATTGTTGTAGTCCAGCCGAGAGGTGACCAAGGCACAGACTAGGGTTTCAGCGGCTCTTGGGGAGAGGTATTGGCGGAGGCGGGCGATGCGTCGGAGGTGGAAGAAAGCGGTGCTGGTGAGGGACCGGATGTGGGGGTGACAGAACATCGGGGACTGGGGGTCGCAAAGAGAGGTGGAAAAATAGAGTTGGGTGTCATCTGCATACACGTGGAAGTGTACCCCATGTCTGCGGATGACATCAGAAAATGGATCCTTGGGATACCACACAGGTGACCGGGTGAGAGCGGGAGGAGAAGTCGTTTCTGCAGATGTAATGCTGACAGTTTGTGAGGTAGAACTCGAACCGGCGAGTGCGGTCCCACTGAGGTGGATGATGGAGGAAAGGCGGTGGAGGAGGATGGCGTGATCGACTGTGTTAAACACGGCAGAGAGGTCCAGGAGGACAAGGAGGCAGAGGGAGCCCTGATAGAGAGGATGTGGTTTGTGACTTTCACAAGCGCAGTCTCTGTACTGTGGGCGGAAACCGGACTGGAGGGGTTCGAAGAGGGAGTGGGAGGAGAGGTGTGCGCAAAGTTGGTTGGCAACAACGCATTCTAGAACTGTTAAGAGGAAGAGTAGGTTAGAAATAGGGTGGTAATGGCTGGGGTTTGAGGGATCCAGGAAGGGGGGTGATGACAGCAGTTCTGAGGGAGGCAGGGACTGATCCGGAGGAGAGGGACTGATTAATAATGTCAGCCAGTAGTGGGCAGAGGAGGGGGAGCTGGGTGACCAGTAAGTTGGTGGGTAGGGGTTCAAGGCAGCAGGTGGTGGATTTCATGGAGGCGATGGTGGGTGAGAGGGAGGAAGGGAGAGATGGGGAGGAAGGAGTGTAGAATGGGGGTGGTGGTAGGAGCAGATGAGGAGGAAGGTGAGGGGGACTTTCGGGTTGTGTTTAGCCTCCAAGATGACGTTGGAGTAAAAGGCCGTTTTTGTGTGCCAAAGAACGGCGGTAGCTGTGGAGATGCTCGACCTGCAGTTGGCGGTGAATTGTCCGGCCAGTTTTCCGCCATCTACGCTCGAGCAGACGGGTTTGGGTTTTTTGGCAGCAGAGATGGTTGTTGTACCAGGGGGGTCGGGTGGGTTTGGAGATGGTCCTGGATTTTAGGGGGAACGAGGGAGTTGAAGATGGAGAAGAGGAGATCATGGAGCAGATGGATGGCTGCTTCAGGATCTCTGCGGGTGGAAGGCCAATAGTCTTAGGTTTCGCGGGTCTGGCCTCAAGCCCCAGAAAAGCCACTTCCCCTACAATTCCCGTGACAATGCTTCTCTCGACAACCAAACCCCGCCACATTTCCTGTGAACCAAACACCGCAACAATGTCTCCCACAACCTACATATGGCATTCATACCCTTATTATATCCATAATGTTTTTCTTCTGAGCGTAGAAAGGCTCACTGTCACAAAGTTAGTCGATTAGATGATCAATTTTCCGAAGTAAAATCCCTTCAAAATAAATAAATAATAATATGGTCACTCAATCCATGACTGTTTGTGGGACACTGCTGTGTGCAATTGTCTGCCACGTTACACCCACAAAATATACACTCAATTGACTTCACAGTGTATTCTGCGGAAAGGATTATTATTATTTGAGGCCCCCAGCTCTACGGTGTAACTTTTTTCACAATGCAGCCAGGTGAGGCGAAGCTGTACAGTTTTCCTCAGCAACAACTGGGAGTGCTTTTAAAAAGAATTTACAAAGACATTCACACCCTAACAGTAAAATCAAGAACAGTTTATCCATCATTTATAAATTCTGTAATTCAACAAGTTTCTTGCAAAACAAGTCTCACCCTTGTCATTATGTAGTTGTGCAGGCTGTTCACAAAGTGCATTAGCTTCACTCGAAGAAGGAACATCCTATGAGTTTCCTGTTTAACAGGCACCTTCAGAGTTTCAAAGGACCAAATGGAATCCTTCTCAAACACAGCATCCGGGCTGGTTTGTGGTCTTTCAGAAGCTTTAACGGGCTCTTTAAGTAATTGTTGTTTTTTAAAAAAATAAAAATAGTAAACATTATGCAAAAATATGGCTATTACATCTAGACACCACACAAACTTTAAAGCAAAGTGCAAGCTGAAATGGCTACAAGATGATGGGCTTGGCAACAGAGTGTTGGAATCGAGTCAAATCGATTCGTAGGGCGAAACCTTGGGCAAGTTTCCTTACTCCACACACAGCCTAATAATAATCCCTCCAAAACCAATAATAAATTGGTCATTTTCAATCCACGGCTGTTTGTGGGACATTGCTGTGCGCAATTGGCTGTCGCGTTCGCCCACAAATATACAGTCAATTCACTTTACAGTGTGTTCTGTGAAGCGCTTTGGGACGTCCTCCCGACGTGAAAAGCGCTATATCAAATGCAAAGATTATTATTAAATCTCTTTGGCAGCCTCAGCAGTCTGGTTACTGAACCAGGCAGTCCACAAGCGAACCAGGACACTGCTGATGACAGACCAGCCAGCCTGATGCGTCAGCAGAATAGAGGGGAGGACCAGTGACTGGAAGCAAGAATTTTTCCCACTTGCAGGGGAGCAAGGCTGAACTGAAGAGTGCTTACATGCAATCTATGACTTTATAGCACTTCCAGTGTACACTCTGAGGCCCCATGCTTTTTTTCTTGCCAACCTGCACCTAATACTCTCCAGAATGTGAAGAGAGCATGCATTCCATTGCAGACACAGAGAAATTCCCGGGTGGCATACATATGTCTCAGTCTGTTTGGACACTCAAAGCATGCTCTGGGTTTCTCAAGTGACAGACTGTACAAAAGAAATTAAGTCCTTGAAATTTATATTTATGCCGTGAACTGAGTAATAAGAACTACGAAACTACTAATAAAACCAATGTTAGCATTATTTTTTAACCTATATCAAAACATGATCTCACCATCAAACCTCAGGACATCAAGACTGTACTTGGCCCATTTAATTTGCAACAGCAATATGAATACTTGGTTGTAAATCTTCTGACATTCTGAGCTGATCACAATATCAACAGGCCAAGGTACCTGGTAACAGGGAAAAAAGAAAAACAGTATAAAAAGTATCCCTGCCTGTAGTCAGTATAATATTTTTCCGTTGTTTTTCAAGTGTTAAAAACGCACCTTATAGCTTAATGTGAGGCCATCTAAAGAATGCACAGGCAGTCTCTTCTTCACCATATCGATATTTTCCAAGTATATGGATAATCTGGATTCAAAGCAAAATCCTTAATCAGAAAACATCCAGCAGCAGTAACTAAAAAAAAAGTCATTTACTGAATCAATGACAATCACATTTTTTAAAAACAGGAATTCAGTTCGCCAACCCGGTTTCTTGTCAATTGTACAAGGGTTATCTTGTTTCTAATGTTGTCAATGATACATCAGCACTTTTTGAACAAGACTTGGCTCACTTTAGTGGATTTAGCAAGGTTGTCAGTAGAGGAAGTACAAAGTCCTACAGGAAGCAAAATGAAGATTAAAAAGCACAACCAGGTCCTGAGCACGATTAGATCAACCATGCGGAAAGCCTAGTCATGCGAAAGATGCCTTATAAAAATAAGTTGTTGATTTGTTGTCTAAAGAAAATTTCTTAAGTCCATTTGTAAATTGCTCAATTTCTGACTAATTTGCATCACTCACTACCATTTCACACAATTTTCTATTGTTCGTCCGAATTTGGAGACGATATCAAATTAGCAGCATTGTCAATCGATGAACAACAGCATCCAGAAGAATAACTAGAATGGGATGACTAGAAATGTGTCAGAAGCAGTTTAATTGTATAGAAATTGTCACATTCAGAGATTTATTAAAGAAAGAGTAGAGTAACGGACAGTGTGATACATGTATTGAATGGAAATGTGCCCTATTGTGACAACCACCTTGAGGTTTCGGTGAGCGGGTTTTGAACACGTATCATCTTACCGCGTGCTGTCGTCAGGATAACGCTGTCCCACTGCCTCCTGTAACCGGACGTTCAGAAAGGACAAGTGCTGCCATGATTCTTTCTCTTTTAATTTGTCGAAGATAGCCACGTAAAAAAAGTACATTGTGTCTCCAGCCTCCAGCAGGAAAAAATTCCTCATGGCCTGAAGATGCTCCACCAGCCTGAGAGAAACATTTCATAAATTAGAATATAATGAGATTTACTATACCTTAGACCAATGTTGGCCAACCGGTAGCCCACAAGAATGCCAAGAAGTGGCCCGTCAAACATTCACTCTAGTTTAGGTGAGGAGTTTAATCAGCTAATACCGCTTAGATTGCCATTGAGAGCACCGTCCAACAAGCTTCCTGCCGAGTGTCTCGCTGAAACCACCCTAGGGAATCAGCGCAGAATGTGCTGGCAAAAGGCTGAGCAAAGTGGGTGGAAGAAGAGGAGTACGGGCAGGTCCGAGAGGTAAAGAGGTATTAGGGCTATGTGAATGTGATTATCTGCATGGTTTTGGTCCATTGACCAATATCTGGCCCACAAGCATGCATTTCACGTCTTCAGTGCTCCCATACCTATAATCAGTTTTCAGGATTTGCATGAGTTTCCCACAACACTCCAGGTAACGTTTCTCAATATGAGGATACAAGCAGGACCGAAGAGTCAGTTCAAATGTCTGGCAGGTCACAGACTCAGAGGACCGGTCCACATTAACATCGCCACTGTTGAATCTCTCGTAGAAGTCACTTTGCTCCATGTACAATCTGTGGGGAAACACAGTAAACCATCAACTCAGCATCAAATCCAGTACGATTACGTTGTTGAGCAATAGCACAGTATAATTACGAGAAAAAAATAACATTTGTTCACAAGTTATGAATTATTATTATTAATTATAATTGATTTTTTTTGTTGCTGTACACAATTGGCTGCTGCGTTTCGCCTACAAAATATACAATAGAAAATTACACATCGGGGAGGACATCCTAAGGCATATACATATACAGTCAATTCACTTTACAATATATCTTGTGAAGCGCTTTGAGACGTCTCAATAACGTGACAAGGCACTATATCAAATGCAAACGTTATTATTACTATTAGAAAAATTGAGGTGAAAATTTGTTCACAAGTGAGGATATGGGGAGACAAAACTTTACAGGGGAACACTGCAGTAAAATCCTCCCTTACATACCAATCACAAGTTTTACAATTTTAACTTGTTTTTCTTCACAATTATGAATTGAATATGCGATGAATACACTCCTTGGGGAAAGGAACATCACTTCTGAGGATTGGAGCATACTCCCACCTCTTGAATTTGCATTTTGTTTCTGAGGAATTACCTTGCAAAATTTATGGCTAACAAAGGGTCATAAACATCGTCGAGCTCAAGGTGTTGAGCCACAATAGACTGCAGCTTTATTAAGCTGTGTTTGGTGGCCTGCTGCTCTGGAACTTGATTTTCGGAGCACAGAGTCTCCTCCTCTCCGTACTGAAGGCGCGATTGGAGAGACTCCAGGAACAGTGTGTACAAGCTCTTTCTATCCGCGTCTGTATTCAGATCAGGGAAAATAAAGCAACAATTAACAAATGGCTCTTTTTTAAAAGAAAACTAATTCAACGTTTTAACACAGCATGACAGGACAATACTCAAGAATCCAAAAGCATTTTTTAATATTTTTTAAACAGAGGTTGGAATGTAGAATTCTCTACCAATAAACTGTTGTTGAGGCAAAATTCAAATATTTTATTAAGAGGAATTAGATGCTTGCAAAAGAGAAGGGTATGAATCAGATAGCGGGATACACTTAAGATCTATTTGTAGAAAACATCATTGTAGACTTGATAGGCAAATGGCCAGATTCTGTGTATTAATGATCCTAAGAATGCTTGCAAGAGATACATTTCAAACTGTGCAGCAAAATAAACCACCTCACCATCTAGTAACGTTCTCTATTGAGCACAGAAGACTGCGGGGTGATATTTGGATAATTTTTGCCCCTTATAAAAATTAAAAGAATTAACTAGCTCACTGACTCACCAATTTGTGCCTTGCCATCTTCGAATGAATAGTGTAAAATAGAATATTAACCTAACTCTACTATCTTATCTAACCCTATTTTCCTGCCCACATCCTCTGCTTTTCCACTCCTCATTCTTTGCTCACTCCATCCCACCATGAATGACTAAGCTATCCACGCTCTCCCCAAAATACTTTTGCCTTGCGTCTTCTCTCATTGCTCTCATAAGCTCAAAAAAAAACACATCTTTGGACGTGCCTTTAGTCAGAACCCTCAAACTCCTTTCCTCCTCCCTCAGTAATCCTCATTATTTATCTTATGTGAAAAGCACTAAATAAGTGAAAGTTGGAATCCCATAGCATAGTGGTTAGAGCCTCGACTCACAACCAAGAGGACCTGTGTTCGATTTCTGGGCGGGGCGCAACCTTAAGCTAGTTTCCTTACTCACACACCTCTGTTTGCCAAGCAGTTAGGTAAGGAACCCGGCTGTTAGTCAATTGGCGAATAGCTTTCTGGGGGTAATAAATCCTTCAAAAAAAACAAAATTGGTCACTCAATCCACGGATATTTGTAGGACACTGCTGTCCCCAATTGGCTGCCGCGTTTCTCCCACAAAATAGTCAACTCATTTTACAATATATCCTATGAGGCGCTTTGAGACTTCTCAAAGTCATGATAAGGCGCTATATCAAATGCAAGGATTATTATTATGTTTTTGTTGCATCTATTCTGATGCATCATATTATAACAATTACAACTTGCATTTGTATAGCGCCCTTCACGCAGGGCAGCATGAGCACTATATAAACCCAATAACCTAATTGCTTTACCTCGGTGGGAGGTTTGCTGGGGGAGACCCAGGTTGTTCTTGCTTTCCAGGTTCTGAAGCAGCTGCATGGACTTGCCGGCCATAATGATCTGCTTCAACACTGGCTTCAGAAAGGAGACCATTGTGTGCTGTTTGTTGGGGTTTGTTTGATCGATATCGGTGGCACTGCCGCTGGCACCATCACCACTGCTCTCATCATTCCCAGTCCTCTCCGACACGCTGTACAGTGTACACGTAGAATTCCAGAAATCCCGGTGGTTCACTGGTACATCCTGGTTTCTAGTTCACAAGACAACAATGTCGAACAGATAGTAACAGTAATAATAATCCTTGCATTTGTTATAGCGCATTATTCTGTCATCGATATGTCGCAAAGCAATTCACAGCATATACTGTAAAGTGGATTGACTGTATTTTGCAGCTATCAAAGTATCAAGATGACTTTTTTTATATACAGTGAAACATTATGCTCTCATTTTAGTTAGACACAAACATTTAGCTGAACCACAATGTGAATTTTACTCATTGTACCTCTTCCTGATGTCAGCTGCTAGCAACGTAAAACAAATTGTTTTTCGGTCCCTATTCCTTGTGATTTCCCTTGTGAAAATACAATCAGCATGTCCTGGAGTACTGAGGACCTCAACTGGCTCAGGAACTGGACTGCCATAGAGGGTGGGCTCAATTTTGACATTGTCAGATCAATTCCAAGTAGACCCTGCTTAACTCCTCGCACCCACCCACCCCCAGGATAGTCCCACCAGGAGAGAAACTTCATTCTCTTTTCAAATAGTGCCATGGAATCTTTAACGTCCACTGAACAGGCAGTTTAATGTCTCACCTGAAGGACAGCACCTCCAATAATGCAACGCACCTCCAGCACTGCATTGGAGTTTCAGGCATGTCTATGATTTTTAAATCCCCATGTGGGGCTTATACCCACAACCTTCTGACTCAAGAGGGAGAGTGCTATCTACTGAGCCAGGCTGACACACGTGCTTTTAATTAACATGCCCTTGTAACTGCTCACTTCCTAGCTTACATTTTTCACACTTTTTTTGTGAACGATAATTATAAATGGACTCTATCATGACAATGATACCTTTGGATAATGAACTCTTTTGCAGGGTCAAACAGGTTTCCGTGAGCGATCCATTCATCCACAATTTCTAAATATGGTCTTACTGTTTCTACCCACAAAGAAAAGAGAAGCGAAACCTGCAAAAAGAGTAAGAAACAAACCATGAAGTTCAAGAAAATACAAGGCTGTTCCATAATCCATATTAGCCCAGGCCTCTCATGGACAGCCTCTGGTGGTGAGAGAAAGAACTTGCATTTCTGCAGCACTTGCATTTCTGAAGGGTGTCGAGGTGAGGGGACCGAGCTGTGCGAGTGGACGCTACACGTTCACATTCTCCGGCCTTTGGATCTCCCTCCAGCCTGACTCCAGTTGTTGACTTCGCTCTAACTAGCCATGATTGGCTGCCGATCGCACACCCCCCCACCCTGGTGACGGGCTGCCGAGCCCCCCCCCCCCACCGGATAAGAATTAATAGGATAAAATGGGCCACAATGTCGAGTTTGTTATTATCGGAGGCATCATAATAACTAGGGGTCGTTAAGCAGAGGTCAGCCTGTACTATTACTTCACTGAGTTTTCTCTTCCTTCCTGCTTCAACTTTGCTTCTCATAGTTGAGATGAAAGAATACTCACTGTGTGCTCTGTGGCTTCTCCAACGCTGTCATACTCAATAATGGCTTTGTACAGTGTATTCAGCAGATGGGACGCCCTGATGACATCTGGAGTATCAGGCGGAACCTCTGCTACTCCTGTGCGAAAAACTCTGTGCAGCAGCTTTAGCTCAGACAGCCGTGGGGACAGTTTATCAAGCACTGCTGACAAGGTCACGGTCTCATCTTAAAAGAAAAAAGTACACATAATAAAGCCAGGATTGCCACGGATTAAATAATAATTCTTGTATTTGATATAGCACCTTTCACACTGGGAGGATGTCTCAAAGCCCTTCAAATTGTCGTGGCTCTATATTTTGTAGACGTACATGGCAGCCAATTTGCGTAAGCCAACAACCATGGCATGAGTGAACAATTTGTGGTGCTGTTGGCCAGTAGAATGGGATAAACTCGCTTCTCTTCACGAATAGCACTTCGAGGCGCCACCACGCGTGAAGAGCGCTATATAAATGTAAGTTGTTCTTGAATAGTAATGGGTATGTTTTACGTCCACTTCAACAGTCAGACAGACATTGATTTAAATCTCATACTATTTATGATGCCCAACAACTTAAAACTTTCCAATTACAACAACTAGGATGTTACGTTACCCTTCACGTAGGATAACATCTCGGAGCACTTTGCGGCCATGATCAGATACGGAGCAAGGGAGGAGGGGAAAGGTGACAATAGGTTTGGTGAAAAGGTAGATTTAAATTACCTTTATTTATCATGCATTTTTCAATGGTGGTTAGTTCTTGTTTGAAGTTGATGAAGTACTTATGCAGGGCCCACACAAACGACTGGTAAGTCCTAAAAGGGGGTTCAGTAAACTTTCTAGAACTGGGTACAGACCCAAACAGACAACTTTCAGAACTGTGGCCAATCTCCTCATCGATGAACTTCTGTAGTCGAAATACCACCTGGCCGTATGCTGCTATTTGCTCTAAGATAGCCTTCAAGCAAGTCTGAAAAAGATGGACCAGGGGAAAAAAATTCAATGTAACCAAGCATAATAAGCCTTGCATTTGATCTAGCGCCTTATCACGTCATTGAGATGTCTGAAACGCTTCACAGAATATATTGTGAAATAAATTGACTGTATTTTGGGGCGAAATAGGGCAGCCAGTTGCGCACAATGGTGAATCGCAAACAGTTGTGGATTGAATTATACATTTTATATATATAAAAAGATATGTACTGTAGTTATATATCTTTCAGTTATACATATTTACTCTGAAGCAAAAATTTTAATAACAGTCATTAGAGAGGTTCTGATAAAGAAGGCACATCGGCCCATTTGATCTCATCCTTCCAGAATACATATACTAATATATCTTCCAATTACAGCATCAAACATTTTTTTAAGCAATCCCTGAATCCTGCCCTCAATCATCCTTTCCTGCTAACCCATTCCAAACTAACACGGAAGTTAATAATTTTTCAAAATTCTCCACAATTTAAAATTTTATGATATGCTTAAGGCTAAGAACTTGAAGAATTGGATCCTCAGGGGTGTTCAAAATGCCTATGGTCACACCCACTCCCGCCGGCTCGGCATCATGCTCAACCACTGTCAAGCACCCTGGGACTCTATCCTGCTTGCGGTTACTATATAAAGGCAAGTTGTTGTTACTCTTAACACTACTTGCATTGATAATTTTCTGATTATTCAAGTACTCAAGATTTATTTCTGTTGGAAAGAAAACTATATTGTCACCAATATAGTAAGGACAGGAACATCCAAAGAGAAAGGAATGTCCAAAGACAGTGTCACATTAACATACACAATTTGTATCTTACCCTTACTTACATGAGTCAGATGAGTTACCATAATATTGTTTCTCACCGACACCTTTCCATCGTGCAACATATAAACGAAAAGCTTATCAACTCCTGAAAGCAACCTGCATAAGGAAAGTTGCTACATTAAAAAAAATCCAATAGTTTCATAAATCAAGTGGGAAACAGATTTTGTGTAACGCTATGCTTTTAGAAATCAGATTAATGATACTGCAAAATCCGCCAAATGTAATAATTAACTGGAACTTACCACAGGGTTTCTCGTATAACCTGGGCTTCAGTTACAAATATGCGATCCTCAGAATAATACAGAGGCTCAGTCTTGTATAGATGCTGCTCCCTGTAAACAGTAAAAAGTGATGGAAGTTTTTTTTAAAATCATCTAAAGTTCCTGTCCTGTTAGATTTTTGGGAAGTTTTCTCTGCAACGTAAAGTAACCTCTTTCTTCAATTTTCTCCCCTGATCCAGCGCAACAAAGCTGAAAGCGCACACATCCCAATGCTCCCAAACATCAATCAAGTTCCCCATCGAGAGTCTTCAATGCATGCCTGCTTCCTAAATTTGCTTTCTCTCTCCACTGCTCACTCACTGAGTAGCTGAAATTATTATAATAATTATAATAACAATAATCATTATATTTAACATTTTTGAAGTCAAGGGGACAACTGAAAGCATTTCACAGGATTTACAATAGAGTGTGATAAGCCTACATTAGATTAGGAACGTGATGTGCAGTAATGCCAGCACATCACCTCATTTAATGAACCATTATTAACCCATGGAATACTGTTGATAATAATAAAATAATAATCCTTGCATTTGATATAGCGCCTTAGCGTGTCTTCCAGACGTCTTAAAGAGTTTCACAGAATATATTGTAAAGTGAATTGACTATATTTTGTGGGCAATTGTGTGGGTGATGTGCATTTTTATGGCATCTGTAATGTTACTAAATACTTCACAGTGTGCAGTGACTGTTCTTCAGGTAAACTTTGTAGTCATTCAACACAGTAAAGTCTCATGAGCAGCCATGTGGATGCAGTATAACAGATAATATCTTCTTACCAGACGGCGGCTAAGTTGGAATGCAGGTGAAAGCTGTGACTAAATTGGGAAGCTTTGTTTGTCCAGTATTGGAGAACCACGTGCTGCTCCAGCCATGCACGTGCTTCTGGCTCACCAACTAAATACAGAAAGAAACTCTTCAATACTGTTCTTAAAGCATCATTTAGATTCCAGTCAGTTTTTAAAAATTCTATTTTAAACATCCAAGCTACAGAAATTCCACAGAAGGCTCCCCACAATAACATAACATGAAGGAGCAGTAGGCTCATTTGACCCTTCGAGCCTGCCCTGCCATTCAATCATGACTGATCTTCTAATCTAACTCCAGCTAATAACCTGACCCTGCCTTATCCCATATCCTTAATCCCTTTTGCAATAAGAAATCTATCTATCTCAGTCTTGAATATGTTCAAGACTAACAGATAAAAGCATCACACTATGCAGATCCAAATCTGTGCTGAGTTAGCTGATCTATATTGGCTCTGGAGGGGATGCAGCTCAAATTCACCAGAATGATACCAGGGCTTAAAGGGTTAAATGGTAAGGACAGGTTGCATAAACTTGGTCTCTATTACTTTTGAGTTTAGAAGGTCGAGGGGTGATCTGATTCAGGTTTTTAAAATAATAAAGGGATTCGATAGTAAGTACAGATAAACTATTTTGTCTGGTTGGGAAATCCAGAACAAGGGACATAATCTTAAAATTAGAGACAGGCCACTTTGGAGTGAAATCAGAGGCAGTTTTTCACCTAAAGGGCAGTGGAAATCTGGAATTTTCTCTCAAAAGGCTATGGATGCTGGATCCATTCACATTTTCAAGAATGAGGTGGATAGATATTTGTTCAGTTAGGGTATCCAGGAATACAGGGATACAATATAGAATAGCAAAACGGGCTTGAGGGGCTGAATGGTCTACTCCTGTTTCTATCTGTACTCTTGAGCGCTATGTTAGACATATTTATGATGTGCATTTCTCCATGAACTCAAGGTAGCTCGGCTTCAAACATAGATCTTTCCAAAAATACAAACCTTTCCAGGATACTTGAGTGACTGCTTTCTTGAGTTGTGCTTGTTCTTCCTGCGGCGTTCGGTCCACCTGGATACCAGAATCTTCTCTACTCAAAGATTCTTGGAGATCCTCTTCACTTTCGTCTTCTGACCATTCCTAAGAATATAGACATATATATATATAGAAAAAATATACATATACAGTGCAATCCTACAAAAAAAACTGTCAGAAACTGGCTTGAAAAAAATACTCAGAAGCTTAACCCGCAAATACTTCATGTTCTTAGCCTTAAGACTATTATCTTGAAATGTAAGATTGTACAGAGGTTTGGAAAATTCTTAAAATCAGTCTTAATTTGCAAAACTGCTTTCTGCAATTTTTTAAAAGAAGAACCAGCTTCCTCAAGTTCCTGCACACCACCCACTTTCAGTTCATCGGGTCACCATTAATGTCACTCCCTGCTTTGTTGTGCCTGTGCAAACAGCAGGAAATGACATTGGTCTCAACCTGATGTTCTGGCAGTTAGTCATTTTAGCTTCCGAGACTAAAAAAAGGCCAATGTCCAGGTCATCGGGACGTCTGTGAAAGCAGGCAAGTTCTCCGCCACATTTTAAAAGTTCCACCTCAGGTTTGGCATTATAGCAAGTGTCAAATGGAAAATAAAGGGAGAGCAAAAGCAAGTTCTCATGCACCCTCTTAGTCTGAGAATGACAATGGGAAAGTCTTGTATGATGTTTTACAGACAACAAAAAATTACATTTCTATATGGCCTTTCACATCAGGAGGACGTCCCAAAGCGCTGAACAACACAACAAACAGCACAACACTAGGTCATACCTCGTGAGCTGCCTGGCCACCTGAGAATAGCGGGGCAGAGACACAGACAAGAAATGAAGAGAGAAGATAACAAAAGGCTACTCACTGGAGTGTCTGGGAAAGGCCCCATGTCAATTTCTTCACCTTCCATCAAGTACTTGCCCCAGTCAAAATCATCTTCTTTTACTGCAGACAGACAGCACAACAGTTGGTCATACCTGTAAGAAATCTATTTACTGAATCAATCCGCTTCCATTATTGATCCCTGGTCTTGTATTTCTCGAGTTATGCTGTGCAGAAATGTTTACATTGGCTGACACATACCACCTGTGCAATAGTGATCATGATCAATCAAACGTGAATGGGAGTAGGTGGAAGAAGTGGGTGCTTAATGTGAACTACAGTACTGGTGTTCATGCTTGAATGTGTCCATCACCCAACAGTCATTAATTCTCCAGTGTCTATCACAGTGAGTTTGAAACCAGTATCCAGACCTAATGAGGACTCCTATACCTGCTGCTTCAGTGAAACCACTCACTCGAGGTTCTCCATCAAGGTTCACACCCAAAGATACTGGAAGCCAATCAGAAAGCACATATATTTCTATAAGCTGTAGATTTATAACTGAAAAAGGACCAGAAAGTTATAGAAAGACCACATTGCAGTAGTGCAGTACTAAGCTACATTGTCAGAGGTGCCATGAGACATTAAAACCAAGGTCTCTCCTCAGTGGTTGTGTAGATGAGAAAATTTCACAATACTATCGGAAAAGAGAAGCATCTCCCAGTCCCACAACAATCTCCAGATAAAACTCACCATGGTTACTCTGTGCAATCTCACTGTGTGAGAAATGGCTGCCCATCATTTCAGTTGATAGAAAATACTGTAAAGCTTTCAGACGTGGTCAATGTATTAAGCTGCTATAAAAACACAAGTTCTTTATGCTAAAATAGAACGTTTTGACCCTTACACCATTTCCATGCACATATAGAGCTTTCAGTAATTTGGCTCTGACACTCAAACATGGCAATGTGTCACACACAGCTGACAGCTGGCGTTGCTGTAATGCCAATGGACGTAATTGTTAGTCACTGGAGTGACAAATTTAACACCGTGGTTCTAATTGTTAGTTCACATGTATAACGTCACCTGGTGGCTCAATGCTGAAATTCAACTATAAGGAAGAAGTCTAAAATACAAAGGGCAAAAGAGAGAAACAAAAAAATCCGAAAGAGTTCAAACACATGAAGTAAAAGCAAGAAAATAGCATTGAAAATAACATGGGGTGGTGAAGAGTCATTATATTGTTAGAAGAAGTTGTAATAAAGAGGAAAAAAATCAGTAACTGACAATGGAGACAATTTCCTTTACAACAAAGAAGTCAATGGTCTCGGTGTATATTTCATCCCTGCTTGCAATCCCAGAGAGAACACCAATAATAAATACTGTACATATTCAAGGATTGGACAGGGGACAGAAAGAAATGTTTTGACGTCAGCCAAGACTCACATTAAAAAAAACTCACTTCCGAGTCATCAGGTCACTGCCGACCACATGTCCTGCGCCCAGGAAACGATGTCAGCAGCGATGAATGTCCTGGAAGTCGGCCATTTTAGTGCGATCCGGCACAGGAAGCGAGCAGGCCAACTGAGTGCAGGAAACGTGATCCACATTCTAACATCCAAATACTCGCTATAAAGCATGTTGTAACAGTACCGCCCAATCCGTTTAACAGGCTTTTATGCTCAGGTGAAACTAAAATAGGAGCCAAATTTCAGTAACAGAACATAAAGAGTAGTAAAACCCTGGTCTGCAAAACTCTATCAAGTATGACTGCAGGAATGACACATGGACTCACCTTCTTCCTTCAGCCTAGGCTTCTCTGTGTACTGAGAGTTGGACGGTGAATCGGAAAGAGCAAGCAAGACGGAAAGTATAGCATAGTGTGCCGTGGTCTGCAAGAAAGAGATCACTTCAATCCTAGTGATACAGGGAACCATCTTCTGAGATCACATTTGATATGTGCACATTATAATAATAATCCATGCATTTGATTATAGCGCCTTATCACGCTCTGAAACGCTACCCTGCGTGGAGAGCGCTATATAAAAGTCCAAGTTGTTGTTATCACGTTATTGAGACGTCTCAAAGTGCTTCACAGAATGTACTATAAAGTGGATTGACTGTATATTTTGGGAGAAATGCGGCAGCCAATTGCAAACAGCAGTGTCCCAAAAACAGTTGTAAAACAGTGAGCAACATTTTTTTTAAGGAATTATTACAACCAGAAAGTAATCCACCAATTGACTAACAACCAGGTTTCTGCTCATTGCTAGGTAAACAGAGGCGAGTGGAGTAAGGAAATTTGCCTACGGTTTCGCCCCGCCCAGGGAAGCAAACCCAGGTCCTCTCTCTTGTGAGGTGAACGCTCTAACCACTACACTATAGGACTCCACTATTCTATTTCAAATAGGCACTTGCCATGTAGTCTACTTAAATAATCCTGAATCCAACAAGAACTTATTCTAAACTTAAACCCTTGGGACATCGTCCCGACGTGAAAGGTGCTATACAAATGTAATCTTGTTGTTGTTCATCATACAATCCAGCACTCAATAGCTAGAATAAAAAATACTATATTCTCATGGTTTGAGAGAATACTGTATTCTCATGGTCTTGTTTAGGTTATAAAGCAAGATATAGCTAAGTGGTGGGTTCTCTTCTGAAATGGAGGTGTTGAAGCACATTGCTGGGCAGTTTTGCATAGAACTGATCAATACTGTCACAGGACATCTGAAATGTGAACGTGCTCATTTCACTAGTAATAACATCCATTGCTTAAGACTGTCATAGGTGTGCCTTAATTACGAGACGAAACATCAGTTAAGAATTCTCACACCATTTTGCTAAGCAGGGTACTTGTGTGGATTCATGCAAGGACAGGATTGGACTTGCTTATGGACGAAAAAAAAGGCACTTCTAACATATTGATGAATTTTGTGCTAGTTGAGGTCATGGATGACAAACAGAAGAGAGACATGGAGCAGGTTCTTAAATGTAATTTTGGTAACAATGTGCTGACAGTCACACCAATTCCCTTGAAGAATACCTCACTAAATATTCTCTGCACTTCAGAAGTATTGTACTTAACATTCAATGCATCCAATTTCTTACTGTCTTCAAATATTATCAAAGCAGCCGAAGTACAATGAGGGTGAGTGTCACATCACATACCTTTGTTCCTTCAACAATCTCTAGAGGTGAATTTAGAAATTCCTCAGTGAGTCTTCTCCAGCTTGCAGCTTTAGGCAGGTCAGAATGAATCGTCAGCTTTTCATGAATGCTGAGAAGTTAAGAGTTGGATCAGGTAACTGAGCGTCACGATAAAAGCAAACAATGTGTAAATGTCTGCATTAAATGAGTAAAAAGCCTCACCCATCGATCGCCCGTCGTATCTTGTGGCTGTCCACATCCAGAAATCGATGGAACCTGTAAATAGGTTCACACAATACATTCAGACACTCAGAGGCACATCAGTCAAACAGGATAGCGAGGCTACAACAAGCTGCAAATGCCAGCAAATGGCAATGAACCTCATTCAGAATCACAGAACCTAAAAGGCTAACCATTTGAGTAAGCCACAGTCCAGGCCAACACTCCAGCACAATACCTGGAAAGAGTTCCATTGACAGAGGGAGGTACTGTCTTTCAGGTGAGAGACTAAACTGGGGTACTGCCTACCAGGCCTCAGGTAAATGTTAAATATGATTTATATAAATATGGGAAGGACGTTTCCTGATGTTTTTGGCCAACAATCAACCAGATAAAATGAATCATTCACTTTGAGACTGGTGTGGATACTTGCTGGTGGCAACAATTTACACTTACATAGCGTCTTTCACAACAACACCTTGCGTTTATACAGCACCCTTTAACTGAGTATCTTCTTTGAGCGCATGAAGTAGGGAAAAAGTCTCAACTGCGTGGGAGCATGAGCTGCAAGAAATAGTGGTAGGACCTGCACTTGCTAAAGGAGCAGTCTACATGCTTGCCAGACTAAGTTTACAATGGTAAATTGCACAGTTTTAGCTGGTTAGTTATCCTAATGCAACATTCTGGGATCCCCCCAAGCCTCAACTCTTGCAAACCTGCACCTAATGCTATACTCTCCAAAGGATAAGAGAACAGGGTACGTCTCCTTTTGGGGGGAGGGGGGAAAGAAAAAAAAAGTGGGTATTCCTTTCTGGATATAGCAAAATCTCAAATGAATATGTGGAACTCTCAGTAATAATCATACAATTCTTGCAGTCTCTCACAAACAACCATGACAAACAAGTGAGACACCTGAGTTCAATTCCACACAGAGCCTAATAATAATCCCTCCAAAACCAAAAACAATAATAAATTGGTCATTTTCAATCTATGACTGTTTGTGGGACATTGCTGTGCGCAATTGGCTGCCGCGTTCGCCCACAAATATACAGTCAATTCACTTTACAGTGTGTTCTGTGAAGCGCTTTGGGATGTCCTCCCGACGTGAAAAGCGCTATATGAAATGCAAGGATTATTATTATTCCTATTTTCAGGTCTCTGCTGAAGACCTTTCTTTTCGACTGCACATCTGGTCACCTTCCTCCCCCTCCCCGCGGCTCGGCCCCGGGATCCGTTACTGTGAAGCGCTCTGAGACGCCGTCGTTGTTGGAGACGAGAGTAAACTCTGTTTACCAAGCAGTAGGAACCCAGTAGTTAGTCGACTGGTGAATCGCTTTTCCGCGGGGGGGGGGGGGGGGAGAATAATCCCTTCAAAAAAATAATTTTTTTGCTTCAGTCCGAGACTGTTGGTGGGGGCACTGACCGGCCCGTGCGCAATGGGCTACACTTTTACAGCGTATGTCGTGAAGCGCTTCGAGGTGTCTCGATGACGTGACTCGAGGCACTGTGTCAAATGCAAAGATTATTATTGTTAGTTGTTATTATCATTTATATGGCACCCCCTCACAGCAGGGATAGCGCCCCAGAGCGCTTGGCCTCACATGGAGACTCCCAAATAGCCAGATGAACGGCGGCCGCTGGTGTCAGGACAACCCCCCCCACAGACAGCACCCCCCCCCCACAACAGCAACCCCCCCCCCCCACACACAGACCCCCACACACAGAGCCCCCCACACACAGACCCCCCCCACAAACAACCCCCCACACACAGACCCCCCCACACACACACAGACCCCCTCCCACAGACCCCCACACACAGACCCCCCCCCCCACACACAGACCCCCCCCACAACACAGACCCCCCCCCACACACACAGACCCCCCCCCCACACACAGACCCCCCCACACACAGACCCCCCCGCACACAGCCCCACCACACACACAGCCCCCACCCCCCGGGTCGGGTACCTGACCTGATGTTGGAGCAGGTGAACTGCAGCGCCATTTGGAAGTTCGCCGCCGCCTCTTCTGCTGCCTCCTCCTCCTCCTCCTCCTCCTTCATCATCATCTTCTTCTTCATCATCATCTCCTCCTCCTCCTCCTCCGCGGGGAACGGACCGACGCAGCGTATCAACCGCTTCAGATCCTTCTCGAATTTATTCCAAGTCGCCATTTTACGTGTGTTGTGTGGGTGAGGGGTGGGGAATGCGCGTGTGTGTCCGTGTCTCTGTGTGTGTGGGGGTGGGGGGTGTGTGTGTCTCTGTGTGTGTGTGGGGGTGTGTGTGTGTGTGTCTCTCCCTCACACACTTCACCTCACGCACCGCGAGGCGGCGGAGACGACGCTCTGGTAACGGACGCCCTGCTGCAGGGCGCGCATGCGCGGGCGGGCGGGAGGGCGGGGCGGTCGCCGGAAGTAAGCAAGCAAGCAAGCGCGTGCGCAGGCGCTTGCTTCCGGCGGCCGTCCGCTCGCTCTTTTGCGCATGCGCGCGCGCTTCCCCCTTTCCCCCACCGCGCGCGTGGTGGTTGGTGCGGGGCGCGGGGTGGGGGGGGCAGGGAAACAGCCCAATTGGGCGGTTTTTAATGTATGCTGTGCGCGTGAAAACGCCCGATTGGGCGGGGCAAACCGCCCAATATACCTACAAACACACAGCAAATCCTGGGAAGCGCTTTAAGACGTGATGACGACGATGGTAATAATAATAATAATAGTAACAATAACCATAATAATAATCCTGGCATTTGACACAGCGCCTGATCACGTCTCCGAGACGTCTCAAAGCGCTTCACAGAATACACTGTAAAGTGTAGTGACTGTGTATTTTGTGGGCGAAACACGGCAGCCAATTGCGCACATCAGCGTCTCACAAACAGCCGTTATAGGAGACAATGTATAATATTGGGCTACTTTTGAGTTTGTGTTGGTGGACTTTGGGCTACAGACAGTGGAGTGACTGTGTGTTTTGTGGGCAAACGCAGTAGCCAATTTGTCCGCGCTTTCACAACAACAACAACAAGATTACACTTGTATAGCCCCTTTCATGTTGGGAGGACGTCCCAAGGCGCTGGACCGTGTACAGCATTTCAGACCCGAGCTGGGGTCAGGGCGGAGAAGGGAGTAACCAATTGCGTGGTCAAAGAGGAGGGTTTTGAGGTGGGACTTGAAGGAGGCTAAGGAGGGGTTGAGGCAGAGTGATTGGGGGATGGAGTTCCAGAGGTTGGGGGCAGAGTGGCTGAAGGCTCTCCCGCCAATGGTGGGGCGGGTGGGTTGGGGGACGTGGAGCAACCAGAGCCGGTTGAGTGGAGGGACCGGGCGGGTTGGTAGGGGTTTAGGAGGTCGCAGAGGTAGGGTGGGGTAAGGCCATGGAGGGCTTTGTAGGTGAGGACCAGGATTTTGATTTGGATCCTCTGAAGGATAGGGAGCCAATGGAGTCGGGCAAGGACGGGGGCGATGGGGTCACAGAGTTTTGTGCGGGAGAGGACACGGGCTGCAGAGTTCTGGATTATCTGCAGCGTGTGGAGGGAGGAGTTGGGAAGGCCGACACGCAGAGAGTTTGCATAGTCGAGCCTGGAGGTGATGAAGGCATGAACCAGAGTTTCAGCGCCTGAGGGGTGAGGTAGTGGCGGAGTCGGGCGATGTTACGGAGGTGAGGGAAGGCAGAGCGGGTCATGGCTTGGATGTGGGGAAGAAATGACAGTTGAGGGTCGAACAAGACCCCCAGGTTCCTGACTGGCTGATGAGTTGAAGTGTGCAACCATGGAGGTTGATATTTCCAGAGCCTGAGGTGCGGAGGCGCTGGCGCGAGCCGATCAGGAGGGATTCAGTCTTTAACATCTCATTTGAAGGACAGCATGTCTGACAGCGCAGTGCTCCGAGCCCACATTGTATCAGGAGCGTCAGCCGAGGAGGCTAAGTGCATTGTCCCCAAAACCCACAACCTAGGAGTGAGCCAGTCTGATGTCTGTGTAGGTTAAACCGTGGAAGGAAAAACAACGACCACTTGCAATTTCGCAGCGCCCATCACATAACCCCACAGAGATGAAATGACCAGTTCTGCCTTCCCTCACCTGGGCAATGTTGCCCGCCTCTGCCATTGCCTCTCCCCTCAGGCCATCAAAACCCTCATCCATGCTTTCATTAAATCCAGGCTTCACTATGCTAACTCCCTGCGCACCAGACTTCCCAACAATTCCCGCCACAAACTACAGATTATTCAGGACTCTGCAGCTCGTGTCATCTCCCGCTCCATGGACTGATCACCCCATCCTCGCCCGGCTTCACTGGCTCCCCATCCCTCAGAGGCTAGAGTTTAACATCCTCATCTTTAAAGCCCTCCACAATCTTTCTCCTCCCTACCTCTGTGACTTACTAACACCTTACTAATCTTCCTTCCCTTCCCTCCCCTCACCCTGACCATTCCCCCCCCCCAATGCTCGGGTCCTGACCCAACTGTACAGCGCCTTGGGACGTCCTCCTGACGTGAGAGGCGCTCTATAAATGGAATCTTGTTGTTGTTCCCGCTCCCTCCACTCGGCAGGCACTGCTTCATGTCCCCTCCCCTGCCTGCTCCACCATCAGCAATCAGTCTTTCTGCCCTCTCCCTCTGGAACTCCATCCTCACCCCCTCCACTGCCTCCTTCAAGGCCCCTCTCAGCACCTTCCTCTTTGACCACGCCTTTGGTCTCCCTCCCGCGTCCCCCCCCCCCACCCACTCCACGCGCCCTCTTGACTTCAAGCCCCAACTCAGGTGCAAACCCTTGACTGTCCAGCGCCTTGGGATGTTCTCCCAACGTGAAATGCACTATATGAATACAATTTGCTGGTGTTGTTGTGGTGGTGGTATCTCAGAGCGCTTGTGCAATGGATGAAATCTTTTCTGTTCAATGTTTGGAGCCTAAAGTCACTGCTCAAACCAGCTTAAGTGCCACCACTAGAGGGAAACACGGAATCAGCAATGATAAACACCAATAAAAGATTTGAAGTTTAAGACATGATTTTGTGGGAAGAAAGTGCAGAATGAGAAATTAGTATTCAATGTGTTCCTTCAACTGACAACAGTATACGGAATCTACTCTATCGTGAGTGATTTTGGCTACCTTCCTACCTTCTCCCCCGCACCCTGTCCTCAGCTCCCCTCACAACGCAGCCTCCCATAAATCGTGTGAAGCACTTTGAGATGTGCTCCCGACATTAAAGGGACTATCTAAAAAGTTGTTGATGTTATATCTGTTCCATTTTATTTCCTGGACTTTTCTGCCCGACCCTTCAAAGGTAACGTGAGAAAAATCCCTTATTATTATTACGTGCTTCAATATCCTCGCTCTTGACTGACTGCATTCGTCAACAAACAAGCCAATGCCAGAATCCCAACAGATCTGGAATTGTGTCCTTTAATTATTGTCTGTTGTGAGTAGAATTGCAACTCCACCTTTCAATTTTCTGTTCTGTTCGCTGCTCATGGCAGACCAGCCATCCTGGCACAGTGCTGAGACTTGGAGGGAAACCAATCGCTGGGTCGGGGTTTTTCCCACTTAGCTCCTGGTAACCCTGCAAGTCAAAGCCCTAATGGATAGGATCGCCCCATCTGACAAGCAGTTGGAATCTGGCACGACAGTGCTTACAGTTGCAAGCTGTGCTTTTTTGGTTGGTTAAACTTGAACACCAACGCTTGGGCCCCAAGCCTTGGCCCTTGCCAACCCTGGGCCTTATTCAAAACTATTGAAAAAGAGAAGGGATTTTCTCTCTCCCGGTGTCCTGGCCAACAATCGCCCCCAAATAAAATTGGGTCACGGCTGTTTGCGGGACACTGCTGCGTGCAATTGGCTGCCGCGTTTCGCCCACAAGATACACAGTCACTTCACGTTATAGTGCATCCTGTGAAGCGCCTTGAGATGTCCCAATGACGAGATAAGGAGCGATATCAAATGCAACAATTATTATTAGTAGTATTGAACCTCTGAAATGAGGTAACTCCTGAGTGAGTGAGTGCATTCCATTTTTTGGCGTGAAGTTCCACTTGCAGGTGGCATACATGTAACTTGGAGTTTGAAGCATGGTGATAGGTTTTCACATGTTTCAGATACCCACTGACCAAAACACATTCTGCTCTCCAACGAAAGCAAGCTCAGCTCTGTGAGATTTTGTACCCTCTGCAACACATAGACGGGCTGTCCCCAAAGAAATATTCTAAATGTGACATCGCCATGTAAAAACAATCTGAAATGATGCATCACAGTGTGTGATCAAGTCAAACCAGTTGAGGAACACAGAAGTACAACTGAAGGAACTTTCAAAATATCCACATTATTCTGTGAAACAACCATAAAATGTTACCCCCGTTTATCCCCCAGATAAAATTGGTCATTCACTTCATATCTGTTTGTGGGACCTTGTGCAATTGACTGCCGCGTTCACCTACACTAAAGTAATAATAAAGTGATAATATTCCTCGTATTTGATATAGCACCTTATCCCGTTTCTGAAACGACTCAAAACGCTTCACAAAATGTACTCTAAAGTGTATACTTTGTGGGTGAAACTCGGCAGCCAATTGCACACAGCAGTGTCCCGCAAACAGTCTTGGATTCAATGACCAAATTATTTATTTTTTTTAGAAGGGATTATTACCCCTGGAAAAGCCATCCGCCAATCGACTAACAACCGGGTTCCTACTTACTGCTCGATGAACAGAGGAGTGTGGAGTAAGGAAACTTGCCCAACGTTTCAACCTGTCCGGGAATCAAACCCAGGTCCTCTCACTTGCGGGGCGAGTGCTCTAACCACTGAGCTACAGGCCTCCTTTGAAGTAAATCAATGTGAAGCATGTGCAAGACAGTAAAGACGGGATAAGGTGGCACATCAGATGTAAACATTATTATTGTTACTATTATTACTTGACATCAATTTTTATGGTGAACTTGAAAATGCAAAACTGTGAAATCGAAAAGTAATTTTTTGGAACAAACAAAATAAAACCCAGGACAAAAATTTATCCTTAAATCTTCAATCCAAGAAACCTCCCGATACCCAACTTAAACAAAAACAATTGCAATTGAAGCAAAAAGAGAGGAAAAATCTGTCAATTGCTCTCCTTGAATAGGAGAGTTGCTGTACAATTGCTGTACAATTGCTGTACAATTGCTGTACAATTGCTGAAATGCTGTATGCTGTCCAGCGCTTTGGGGCATCCTCCCGACGTGAAAGGCACTATACGAATGTAATCTTGTTGTTGTTGTCGTCGTTGAAATCGGAGCCTGGGCTCTGAACTCAAAATACCCTGGAAGTGTGTTCATTTTCAGTGATGCTGCCCAGTGCTGAGAATGGTAATACCTCTCATTGAGCCTAATCCTCTGATTATACAATGCGTAGGAGGGCACTCGAGTTCATACCGAGGCTCCAGGTTACAAATAACCTACGCTCCAAGGCACTTAAAGCCCAAACTGGTTCATTCAAAGCTGCTCGAGAAGCAAAAGCTTTAATTTCAATGCTTCGCTAATAGATAAGTAATAATTCGGTCACTCGCCCACAAAATATACAGTTAATTCACTTTGCAGTATATTCTGCGAAGCGCTTTGGACGTCTCAACAACGTGAGGCGCTATATCAAATGCAAGGATTATTATTATTATTATTATGTACTTTGACCTCAGTGTCTTCATGGATTCTGTACCATACCACCATTGACTTGCTGGGAAGGTCAGTCTGTACACCTCACTCCAGGAATTACTAAATTTGCCTTTTGATTTCGCAGAAAAGGAATTCAACACTTGGAACCTAGAATGAATGAATGAATGAATGGTGTCAGCCTGGCTCAGCTGGATTTACTGTAAAGTGTAGTGACTGTGCAGGCAAACATGGCATTCTCCCTTATAAATGAAATCTGTTGCTGTTGTCGTTGCGTCCTGTCCAACAATTCAGCAGATAAAATTGCCTGTTTGTGGGACGTTTATGTACACAAATTGGCTGCTGCACTCACCTACAAATACACAGTTACTACAGTAACTCCAGCGAAGAGCTTTTTCTTTCAGTCAGCCGGATGTCTGACAAATACAAAAGCTCATCAACATGCTTAAAATATCCAAACCAGATTCTAGAGTTTCACATGTAACATACATACTGGGAACTCTCAGTCTATTACAAATGCACATTTCTTTTCACATTATGAGTTGTGAGAAACTCTGAGACATATGAACGTGATAACACGATGATAAAATTGATCATTTACTTCAAGGTTGGTGTGCGGAGAACATTGCTGCGTACGAATCGACTGCCGTGTTTGACCACAAAATATACAGTCACTACACTTTACAATAAAATGCTGTGAAGTAAATCGTCACTCCGCTGTGTTAATAATAATAATCCTTGCATTTGATATAGCGCCTCATCACGTCTTCGAAACGTCTCAAAGTATTTCACAGAATATACTGTAAAGTGTATTTTGTGGGCGAAACGAGGCAGGCAATCTTTGCATTTGATAGAGTACTTAAAGTAAATGGTCTCTACACCGTGTTGAAGTAAATCATCTCTACACAGTGTTAAAGTGCCATATCAAATGCAATTATTATTATTATCTAATGTTTTTCCATCAGTCCCTTGTTCCAATGGATCATCTTTCGCTTTGACAAGTACTGAACCCGTGTTATTTTAGGCTACAGACCATTTGCAGTATTGGTGCACTTACTATGCTGATAAGTTAACTTACTGTCTATGTTACCCTGACAACAAGTGCTATTGGATCACACGCTCTGGCTTTGCGTGTTGCTTTACTGTGGGTGTGTGTATGTGTATTTTTTTTCTGTCTCTTGCACAAAAACTCTGCAAAAACCACTTCCTTCCAAGCACAGCAGGGTGTCGATACACGATTGGTATTTCCAGACAAGCTTGAGTTTGCAGAGGACATCAGAGGCTTAACAATGTAATATGTGTCTGGGGTTCGCTTTTATACTCAACTTACTGTCGGCAGCTCTGCTGCGTTGTGTTTGTTCGCGTGACAGCCAGCCTTAGGTAAGCGTGTTTGCATTTGTGCACTTAGTAGTTGCTTGGAATCAAAAGAGAAAAGTGTGTGCACACGTGTGTGTGTGTGTGTGCGCGCGTGTGTGTGCGTGTCGGGGGAAGGAAACTGAGATCTTGAGATCTTGAAAACAGGGCGATAAAAAATAACTCATTGGAGAGAAAGAAAGAGTGAGAAAATAACAGATACTACTACAACTACTAATAATAATCCTTGCACTTGATATAGTGCCTTAGATGTCTCAAAGCGCTTCACAGAATACACTGTAATGCATTGACTGTGTACTTTGTGGGTGAAAATCGGTAGCCGATTGCGCACAGCAGTGTCCTGCAAGCAGTTGTGATTGAGTAACCAAATCCTTATTTTTATTTTTTTGAAGGGTTTATTACTCCCAGAAAAGCGATCCGCCAATCGACTAACAACTGGGTTCCTGCTCACTGCTGGGTAAACAGAGGCGTGTGAAGTAAGGAAACTTGCTTTAGGTTTCGTCCCGGCCAGGAATCAAACCCGGGTCCTCTCACTTGCGAGACGAGCGCGTGCTAACCACTGAGCTACAGGATTCCACAGATGAGATGAAGAAATTTCAAAAGAAGTATCTGATGGTCATCCTGATCTACTCAATGTTTTTGTTGATCTATTCTTACCTACTGGATTGTACAAGGAAGCCTGGGACTCTGGAGGAGCAGGTGGTGGGCAGAGATTGCCAAGCTAGTTCAGCGCCCTTGGGCTGGGAGGAGAAGGAAGTTGAGGTCCAGTTGGATAGAGAGGACGACGGGAACCGGTTGCCAAGGAAGCAGCACATTTACCTGCATGCTACCTGGAGAACCGGCTCATCCTTCGTTGGCGAACTCTTCAATCAACATCCCAAGGTCATTAAATCCCTTCATGCACTCGTACCTCCCAACCTATTTGCTCACCCCCAACTCCACCACCCACTGCCTCCGCTCGGCTGGCTCCGGGCTCCTTTCCCATCCGCTCCACCACTGTCAGTCGTGCTTTCAGAGCCCTGAAACTCTCTCCTTAATCCCTCTGCCTTTCCCCCTCACTCCCCACCCTCGAATCCCACTTAAAGACCTGGCTTTTTGATGGTGCTTACAGTCACCTTCCCCTCCCTCTCTGTCTGGCTCGAGGTCAGACTCCGCTACTGTCAAGTGCTCCGGGACACTACCCTGCTTGAAGGGCGGTCTTTATATATATATATATAAGGTGTTGTTGTTGTTGTAGGTCTTCTACCTTTACGAGCCAATGTGGCTGATGTGGCAGGAGCTGTTCCCAGGAAACGCCAAGAGTTTGCAAGGAGCGGTCAGGGACATGCTGCGCTCCCTCTATCTCTGCGACTTCTCAGTACTCAAGCTCTACACCTCCTCCTCCATGGGGGACGTGAAGCTGACCACCCACTCTGTCTTCGGCTGGAAGAACAACAAAGTCATCTGCTCCGCCCCGCTCTGCCACGCCTACACCAAGGATCATGTGGAGTTGGTCAACGGGGAGAAGTGTGGGAAGCAATGCCCGCCCAGGGACATTAAGGAGCTGGAGAGGGAGTGCAGGAAGTATGATGTGATCGTTATCAAGGACGTCAGGGTGTTGGACCTCAAGGTGTTGCTGCCTCTGATGCAAGATCCCTCCTTGAACTTCAAAGTCATCCAGCTCATGCGAGACCCCAGGGCTGTGCACAACTCCAGGATGAAATCCAAACAGTCATTGGTGAAGGAGAGCATCCAAGTATTGAAAAGCAAGAAGAGATCAGAGAAATACAAGAGTCTCTGGGCGCCTGGCAAGTCTCACCGAGTGGACACCTATGTGTCCAGTGCCCTGGAGGTCATCTGCGAGAGTTGGAGCAAGGATTTGGCTTTGGTCAGGGACTCGCCATCCTGGGTTCGGAGCAGATATGTGATGGTCCGCTATGAGGATCTGGTGCTGAAACCACGGGATACCTTGAGGGCATTGTATGGTTTTGCCAACATAACGGTTTCACCGGCCACTGAGATGTACGTGCTGAACATGACCAAAGGCGAAGGATATTCCTCGGAAAAGCCGTTCTTGATCTCTTCCAGAGATGCAAAGGAAGCCATCAGGGCTTGGAGGAACGGGCTGAGCCTTTGGCAGATACAACAGGTGGAACAAAGCTGTCAGGAGGCTATGAAAGTACTGGGTTACCAACCAAACAACATAGACAACACCTAAACATCTGTCAACACCCAATATTCCTTGATTATTGGACCAAGGTAAAAGATATGTGTGTATATTGTGATAATAATTGGAATAATTCCACTGTTCCAATTCAATAACACCAAAATATCTGGTTGTGAATGTTATTAAACTAGCTGGTAACAGATCTAAAAGGGAGTTCAGGAAGACCTTCTTTACAAAAAGGGTGGTGAGAATGTGGAGCTCACTGTCAGAAACTATGGATAAAACAGAAAACATCAATGTATTTAAGAGAAAATGCTGCATCAGAGAAGAGAATTGAGGAGTAGAGGAGAGGGGAGTATAAACTCCAACATGGACTAGTTGGGCCAAGTGGTCTGTTTCTGTATTGTTGCATTATATATGTTTGTATGTGATACTCAACTTAACCACACAGTGATGTCCCTCAGGGCTGATATAGGAAAGAGAGGGCGTACAAGATGAAACTCCTAATTGGTTTCGACAAAGTGCCTTAGCTCCAACCTCAGATACACATACAAGCCACAGTTGTCTGAGACTTGAGCACTCTGAGAAGCTGCATTGCTATATAAATACAAATTGTTGTTGTTGTCGAATGAGACCATGGGGATTTGATAAAAGGTGTGTAGTTTTATGGTTGCTATCTTCTGTTTGCAATTTTCTGCAGCCTACCCTAGGTCGAGCTTAAACCCCATTGAAGTAAAAGCACTGAAACAGCCACATCAGTGGATCATCATTTCCTATATCAATGTATCACTTCATATTCCACATCGTTGTGGCTTCTCTCTTAATGAGATTGCCAACAGACTGTTGTGATGAACAGTAGGTAGGCAGTTTGGTGTCATGGCCTGTGCTCGTTGGGAACTTGCATGCCACAGAGGTTGAATAACACAACAAATTACATTTATATTAGCGCCTTCCATGTTGGGGTACATCCTAAAGCGCTGAGCAATGTGAGGTTAGCACCCAAGCTGTTGGTAAGTGGACCTGATACCTAGATTTGAAGGAGGCGAGGAGAGGGAGTAAGGCAGAGGGATTCAGGGATGGCGTTTCAGAGGGTGGGGGCAGACAAACTGAAGGCACGACCGCCAATGGTGGAACGGGCAAGGCGGGGGACATGGAGCAGGCCAGTGCTGGCTGAGATTCAATACATGCTTGAGCTCACCTTTTTCAAAGTTGCTTTGTTTTTGCTTTAATGCATTATACGTGAGAACGCGCGACTCATATCTGAAATGTTCAGTCCCTGCCAAGCATGTTCGCTCAAATGCCTGTGTCCAAGACTTTGCATCTGATTCTTTTAAGAGTTGGCCTCCTCTACCCAGACAGTCCAACCCACAAACTATTTCAAATAAAAACGGAAATGGCCGGGAACACACAGCAGGTCAGGCTGGAGAAAGGAAAGCGAGGTAACTTTTCAGGCCAATGAACTTTCTTTGAAGTGCTGACTTTCCTCTCCCCATAGATGCTATCTGACCTACTGTGTGTTCTCAGCAACTTCTGGTTTTATTTTAGATTTCCAACAGCGCTGTATTTTGCCACATAACTATTTCTGTTGTTTGACATCAGCGGTTTCAGCGACAGACATTTCCTGTAGGCTCTGTGTATCAGAACCCAGACAGATCAGTTTCAACGCTCGTTTGCTAATACAATAAAGCTCACATAAGTGGTATCTGTTGGGACCACACATTGAATATGACTTGTGCACAGTATGAGTTATGTGAAACATAAATACTGTGATAGGAAATTCAACGGTATTTGGGCAGATGTACGATTTAAGAGATTAAACGATTTATGCAGATCAGACCTCCACGAATTTTACTGTATCGATCACCATTTCTCTTTAATTTTGTGTTTTGCTCTGAACTGGTAGGTTGTAACACACAGAAGCTTAGGACAAATTAGACTGTACAACTTTTGTCAAACCCGCAAGTTCTCAATCAGGAACCGAGCATTGCAGAAGACTTTCCGGAATTAAATACAAGAACGAATCTCATAACATGTTACTCTGGTGCCGTTAAATGATGTGGTTTAAAGAGGCAATGACCTAAATTGGGTTGGGGAAAATTCTTCAATTCGGTCTTAATTTGGAAGCTGGACTTTTTAAGAATTGCCGAATGACGGTTTCCAGATTAAGTGAATTTAAGATTTGTCCACAGTTCTGCACCATCAGTGGAGTCCTGTAGCTTAGTGGTTAAAGCACTCGCCTTGCAAGCGAGAGGACCTGAGTTTGATTCCTGGGCAGGACACAACGTTAGGCAAGTTTCTTCACTCCACACGCCTCTGTTTACCCAGCAGTAAGTAGGAACCCGGTTGTTACACGATTGTCAGATCGCTTTCCAGGTGTGAAATCCTTTGAAAAAAAAATGTTTAAATAATAATTTGGTCACTCAATCTACGGCTGTTTGTGGGACACTGCTGTGAGCAATTGGCTGGCCACACAAAAAAAAGATAGTCAATTCAGTTTACAGTATATTCTGTGAAGTGCTTTGAGACGTCTCAAAGTCGTGATCAGGCGCGACATCAAGTGCAAGGGTTATTATTATCATAATTTTTAAAAAATGGCTTTAACAGGCTGAGACTGAGTAGGGTTTGGAGTCACAAGTGATCTCTTAAATGCATTAAATGTTTTGGGCTCTCAAGACCCTTCTCATCAACCCATTTCAGCTGTTGATGGCTCTATGTGCAAAAGAATTCCTGGTATCTGTTCTTAAAGCGCTCTTCACTTATTATACCGTGAGTGACAACCTTCTCGGTCTTTTTCAGGTCTTTTTTGTCAAGTTCTATTCCATCAGCTGAGCACATATTGTCACGTGATTTTTATGGTTCAGTCATGGTCTCGAGTGCAAGTTAATGCTCTGAGATTAAAACTTTGCAAGAATTCAAAGTTCTTGCAAAGAACTTTGAAGCACACGAAGCACTTCAAAGGTCTTTGAAGAAGCACACAATTAGAGTTTCAACAACATATATTTATTATAATTGTTTTAACGTGTGTATATGAGTGTGTGTTTCTATTCATGTGGCTAATTATAACAATCTTTGCATTTGATACAGCGCCTTATCACGTCTTCAAATCGTCTCAAAGCACTTCACAGAACATAATGTAATGACTTCACAGAACATAATGTAATGACTCTATATATTCGAGTTGGTGGTTGGGATCAGGAGGGGTGGAGGGCAGGGAGGGGAGGGGTAGAAGGGTGACCAAGGCACGGCAAAGAGGAGGGCCTTGAGACGGGTCTTGAAGGAGACTAGAGAGTTGGCGAGACGGAGGGACTATGGGATGGAGTTCCAGAGGGTCGGGGCAGAGAGGCTGAAGGTGGGGCGGACGAGGCAGGGGACGTGAAGCAGGCTGGAGCCCGCTGAGCGGTGGGAGTGGACAGGTTGGTAGAGGGTTAGGAGGTCACAGCAGTAGGAAGGCAGGAGCCAGGTGATGAAGGGCTTTGAAGATGAAGACCAAGATCTTGAACTGTATCCTCTGAGTGATTGGGAGCCAGTGGAACCGGACGAGGATGGGTGTGATAGGGTCATGGAGCCTGGTGAGGGAGCGGACATGGGCTGCAGAGTTCTGATCTGCAGCCTGTGGAGGGAGGAGATGGGGAGGCCGACAAGCAGGGTCCCTATAAATACTAAAAGAAAGGGGAACCTACAAATACTTGGGGTTGGCTTAATTGGTCGTAAAGAAAATGTCTGGGTTCCTAAATCATTGAGGACATGAACCGGGTTCATGAACACGGTTAGTTAAAGCCATTCTGCTCCAACGTTGAGTCAGATTAGTTCTGTAAAGTAGGTAGTTAGGGCCTTGGAAATCCTTTAGATATTACACCGCATGCTTTTAGCAGCATTGGCATCTGATGGCAAAACGTGCATTAGCAATGTCTGCCATTCCCCACCCACCCAACTTTATGGCCCACCTACCTACTATCTTGCAGATTTCCGAGGACAAGCTCCCAAACGTGGGCCTGCAAAGACAGAGCCTATTGTCAGCCAGTCTGTAGCACAGAGGGCTATGGGCCACTTGCGGCTCTACCCCAAGCAATAATAATGGTTGCATTTGGTATAGCGCCTAATCACATCTTCATAAATTGCTTGTTACAAACGAACAGATGGATATTTCTCATTTGTTGGAAGTTGACGTTCACAGAAATTAAAATATTATCCTTAAATTGCAGAATGGCATTTGAAATTGATGTGTATATAAATCTGGATAGTGTAACATGGGTTTTGCTATCTGAAAAAAAAATCAGTGTCTTGTCCTCACTATTGCCTGTTCATGTATCAGTGTGCATGTTTCTGCATGTGTTTGTTTTAATGTGTGTCTATGAGTGTGTGTGTGTCTATTCATGTGTCTAATAATAATAATCCTTGCATTTGATAAAGCGCCATATCACGTCTTTGAGACGTCTTAAAGCACTTCACAGATTATACTGTAAAATGAATTGACTGTATATTTTGAGGGTGAGACGCAGCAGCCAATTGCACACAGCAGTGTCCCACAAACAGCCGTGGATTGAGTGACCAAATTATTTTTATTTATTTTTGAATGAGTTTATCCATACCTCCGCATGTTTCAAGATCCTCTCACTCGTTTTCAAATCCCTTCATGCCCTCGCACCTCCCTACCTCTCCAGCCTGCTTACCTCCAACTCCACTGCTGCCTTCCTTACCTCCTGCTGTCTCCGCTCGGCTGGCTCTGGCCTCCGGTTTGTCCCCCGTGACCTCCGTTCCACCATCGGTGGCCGTGCCTTCAGCCACTACGCCCCGAAGCTCTGGAATTCTCTCCCTCAATCCTTCCGCCTTGCCCCCTCCCTCCCCACCTTCAAACTTTTCTTTTCGATCGTGCTTATGGTCACCTCCCACCTCCCTCTCCCCCTGGCTCGGAGTCGGACTCTCTACTGTCACATGCTCTGGGACATTACCCTGCGTGAGGGGCACTATATAAAAACATAAGAACATAAGAAATGCTAGACAAAAAATGACCAAGGTCCATCTAGTTCGCCTTCCACCTTCCAGGTGGTCACATGCACATATGTCTCAAACTCCCTATGTACTATAATCCCATAATGTTATTTCCCTAAATGAAAAATATCTAATTTGTGTTTGAAAGAATCAACATTTCCTGCTTCAACCATCTCCCTCGGGAGCCTTTTCCACAGGTTCACTCCCTGAAATAGTGTTTGCGGAGTTGCAAGTTGTTGTTTACATATCTCTGTGTGTCTGTGTGATGGTATATCTGTGTCTTTGTAATTCTATGGGGATGTACCTGTTTGTGTGTGTTTAGTTATCTGTGTCTGTGTATTACTGTATGTAAAATATGTTAGTGTGCTTAGTTTACGCTTGGGACATCCTCCCAACGTAAAAGACGCTTTACAAATGTAATTCTGTTGTTGTGTATATTTGTGTCTGTGTTTATGCATCAGTGTTTGTGTATGAGCTGTGTGTCCCAGTCTTTAATATCAGTCTGTGCAACTTCACAGATCTTCACGTGTGAAACCACAAAATGGTGGAGAAATCAAGACAGTAACATCAGACAAGAGTACTAAATGAACAAAAAACACACATGTGTGAATGGGACAGGAGTTGGTTTATCCAAATTTATAAACAAGATCCTGACTGCGCTCTGGACATATTCCAGGCTCACCTCTTCCTCAAGAATTGCTGTCCATCTGTACCATCAGTGCAAACAGCACCATTGCTGAACAACAAGAACAACAACAACAACTTGCACTTATATAGTGCCCTCCATGCTGGGCAGCGTCTCAGAGCACTAACAGGATTCCAAGCACGATGCAGGTGACCACAGGGGCGTTGATCACCCCAATCAGCTGAGCTTCGCAAATCAAGGACGTAACATTTGTCGTTTGTTGTTGTATAACATTTAATGATCACACTTTTGAAATTATAATGAAAAATACTTGAAGCCCACACTTTACTGAAAGTTATCTCGGGCCAAGTATTGTATAGTATACGAATTGTCGGTCTTGTTGAAATATATCGGCTTGAAGTATCTTTCATTGTTTGCGAATGAATGACAATATCTCACGATAATATCTAGGAAGGTTAACTAACATATTACCAAGAAGATAATTATATTATTTACCAAAGCGGTGGGATGGAAGGTCGGGCTGGGATGTACATGACCTTAAAAACATTACGTATGTCGTTAATCCAGGTACAATTCTATTTCTGCCTTTGAGTGGTCCCAGAATTAATCTGCATTTATCAAGAAAAATAATAAAATATTGAGATAACCGATCCCTACCGGAAAAAAACACTCTCAGGGGTGTCTCGCTCTCTCTCGCTCGATGTCGGGGGGTGGGAGGAGGTGCACTATTTACATTTGCTTTCACTTCGTTCCCACCCTTCAGGGAAAAAAAAACGTCCACATCACAGAGGGTTTGCTAACAGGACCAGCTCATACCTGGCACACAGTCGGTGAGCTCCAACCAGCAAACAGTCACAGAAATTCCTCCTGAATTCAACCCACAAACCAAATCCCTCATTACCCCTGGGGTTCCTTACGTTACAGTGGAAACTTTAATGTTAACAGTCAGCCGAGAGTTACTCTCTAGGGAGGGAGGGAGAGAGAGATTCACAGTAAAACAACAAGGGCAACAATCCGGGCAATTCAACAGAACAGTGAGAGCCTTTCGACTAAAAACTAAGACAACGCAAGATCAGGCTCCACAAAGTTCAACAGAAAATAAAACATTTCTCTGAAATTTCGTCAGGCCCCACCACCCGCATTCACCTGCGACCGTCTGTCTCCCTCCGAAACCAAACACAGGACAACGTGGAGATTAGAAACAGCGAATGGAACATTTCTTTGGAACCACATCAGTCCCACCAGTCGGCTGATGCGTAAACTCTACGGTTATATCGCTCCGGTTTCGCAGGTTCCGAGTTCTTCTGTTCACACCACAACAAACAAAAAGCGAAGTGCAAAAAGAAAGAGCAAAAAGCCACGTTTCTCTCACAAAATACACAGTCAAGTCACTTCACGGTACATCCTGTAAAGCGGTTTGAGACTACCCCTGTTTACCATTATAATATTGAAAATACGTTTAACGTTGAGTCACGGATGAGCATCACATCCCCTCCCCCAGGAACCGTATCCCACCCCAAGCTCCCAAATTGTCTGTCTACACTGACGGTCACTACACGGGGCAGCGATTCTCGGTGAAGCAACGTGGGGACGATGGGAATGAAGAGGAACAACGAACAGTGGGAGCAGTTTATTGTTGAGTTCAGTGCCGAGTGTCGGAATTAACCGAGACTGGAACTCGCCCCCATTTCTTCTTCCCCCTCCATGGAAGCCCTGCGGCCACCCAATCGGGCACCAAAGTGATGAGCCGCGCTCACACAACTTTGGCACAAGTTACTACACTAGGCCAGGCTACACACAGTCACTACACTAGGCCAGGCTACACACAGTCACTACACTAGGCCAGGCTACACACAGTCACTGCACTAGGCCAGGCTACACACAGTCACTACACTAGGCCAGGCAACACACAGTCACTACACTAGGCCAGGCTACACACAGTCACTGCACTAGGCCAGGTAACACACAGTCACTGCACTAGGCCAGGCAACACACAGTCACTGCACTAGGCAACACACAGTCACTAAACTAGGCCAGGCTACACACAGTCACTACAGTAGGCCAGGCAACACACAGTCACTACACTAGTCCAGGCTACACACAGTCACTACACTAGGCCAGGCAACACACAGTCACAACACACAGTCACTACACTAGGCCAGGCAACACACAGTCACTGCACTAGGCAACACACAGTCACTAAACTAGGCCAGGCTACACACAGTCACTACAGTAGGCCAGGCAACACACAGTCACTACACTAGTCCAGGCTACACACAGTCACTACACTAGGCCAGGCAACACACAGTCACTGCACTAGGCCAGGCTACACACAGTCACTGCACTAGGCAACACACAGTCACTAAACTAGGCCAGGCTACACACAGTCACTACAGTAGGCCAGGCAACACACAGTCACTACACTAGTCCAGGCTACACACAGTCACTACACTAGGCCAGGCTACACACAGTTACAACAACAACAACAACAAGATTCCATTTATAGAGCGCCTTTCACGTCAGGAGGACGTCCCAAGGCGCTGCACAGTTGGGTCATGACCCGAGCAGGGGGGAAATGGTCAGGGTGAGGGGAGGGAAGGGAGTTACTATGCTAGGCTCCTGTGGGTAGTGTAACACACACACACACAGTCACTACATTGGCTCCTGTGAGCAATATAATACACAGTCACTACTCTAGGCTCCTGTGGGCAGTGTAACACACACAGTCACTACACTAGGCCAGGCTACACACGGTTACTATGCTAGGCTCCTGTGCTAGGCTCCCAGTCACTACACTGGACTCCTGTAGGCAGTGTAACACGCACAGTCACTACATTAGTTGGAGGTGAGTGCGTATCGTTTACACGTTCACTTTTCAGCCTCAAACTTTTCGTTTTTAAATGTTTTTACAATTTTTAAGTGTTTTTTTTGTTGCAGTTTAAATGCGTTGAAAGTAAAACGTGTGAGTGCGTTACACGCAGACCCTGATGTCCGCGCGCTACAGGGAGTCTGGCTCAGGGTCAGACTCCGCCACTGTCAAGCACTCCGGGACCCTACCCCACGTGAAGGACCCCATATAAATGCAAGTAGTTGCTGTTGTTGTTGTAGGTCGACCCGGTAGTAACGGTCTTGGTGTGCATTCACACGAGAATCTTGCGCTCGCTGCGTCGTGCCTTTTACGCACTCTCTGGGCTCCCCCCCAGCCTCGGCTCTTGCCAACCTGCGCCTAATGCTTCCTGGAATTCGGTAACCAGGATGCGTCCCTCCAGGGAGCGAGAGAGAGAGAGAGAGAGAGAGCGCAATCCATTCCAACAGTCTATCTCCGGGATTCCCATGTGCAGGTGGGAGGCCTGGAGTTCTCATCTTGGTTTGGATGCTCTTAAGCAACGGGGATGGGTTTCCGCGTGTGTCAGACGCCCGGTCGACCCCCCCAAAAAAAAAACATTTGCTTAGCCTCAGCGTAGGAAATGGTTTCAGCTCACTTCTCTTCTTCCTAAGCTCAGTGTGCCGAAATGTTATTCGCTTAAGCGCGTCCTAATTTGTTCTCTGTCTTGGTGGTTTACCTTCTGAGGAATTATCTCGTTAAACGGTTCTTTTTCTTCCCCCCAAGTATTTGTCTATTAAACCGCGACCCAGTTTCTTGCTTTTTATTTATCGACTTTAAGCATGTTGGTGGGTTTCCGTGCGAGTCGGACACCCAAAAATTTATCTCCTTCAGCCATCACACACGGTTCGATGGCCTACCATCTCCGTTACAATGTACCTCCTTATTTGTTATACCCCCTATACAGTGTCTTGCATTTATCTCTATGCTGTCTACCCCTTGCACCATTTTGACTAAACCCTCACGACAATTAGCTCTAATTATTAGACCAGCTTGGAAGGTGAGGAGAAAATTTTTCACGCAGCGAGTTGTTCGGATCTGGAATGCGCTGCTTCAATGGGCGGTGGAAGCCGAGTCAATAGCAACTTTCAAGAGAGAAGTAGATAGATATTTGGGGAGGACAAGTTTGCAGGGCTATGGGGAGAGAGCGGGGGAGTGGGATTGATTTGGATAACTCTTTTAGAGAGCCAGAACGGACACGATGGGCCAAATGGCCTCCTTCTGTGCTGTATAATTCTATGATTCTCCAGTCTCCCAGAGACATCTCAGAGAGGACCTCATAGAGGTGTACAGGACGACATTTCAAATGAGATTCACTAAGTAAACCCACAACAATACTTTGGGATGTACCAAGATAACAGAACAAAGGGACATAGGTTTAGAGTTGGCAAGAGCAATTTCAGGACATTTCTCTTAACCCAGTTCCAGTAAATGTAACTGCAGCAGGTTGCCAGAAAGGGTGATTGAGGCCAGGATACTGGACTTATTTAAACGCAGCTTGATGCAATCCCATAGCGTAGTATTTAGAGCATTTGGCTCGCAAGCAAGAGAACAAAGGTTCGAATCCTGGGCGGGGCAAAACCTTAGGTAAGTTTCCTTACTCAACAGGTCTCTGTTTACCAGTAGAAACCCAGTTGTTAGTCGATTGGTGGGTTGCTTATCGGGGATAATAATCCCTGAAAAAAAAAGGTCATTCAATCCACGATTGTTCGTGGGACGCTGTTGTGCTCAATTGGCTGCCGCTTTTTACTCACAACATGCACAGTCAATCCACTTTACAATATCATCTGTGAAGCGCTTTGAAGCCTCTCAACGATATGATCCGGTGCCATATCAAATGCAAGGATTATTATCATTATTATTCACGACCCTCCAGCTTCCTTCTCTTCAGGTAACATGTTCCGCGCAGTCATGATTTTCAGAACGCATCACGCAACACTTGTAAGATAATTTAAGCACTTTCGCAAACTTGGAATCAGGAACAATACAGTCACATTCAAAGCGGGGCGGGACAGCGGATCTGATTTCCGTAACCAGATTGGTTTCTGATACCTGACCATGCGACTTGAGGGATCTTTTATGGTCCTTGGTTCTCATGGCCTAATCTGTCTTTCATTAACAAAGCCCCTATTTGTCACCGTCCACTGAAACCCCTTTCAGATATCCCCTTTGTCACCGGAGTAAGTAAAGTAACAAGAAATGAACAGTAACGAGAGTTACAATCACTTGTTGGAGGAATAACTGCAACCGCAATGTTCCCCAAGTTTTAAAAACCAACAAGGACTTCTTATAAACTGACATTTTGGGTTAAATTTGATATCCTGATTGAAAACCTATGGTAATAATATAATAATAATCCTTGCCCTTGATATATAACGTCTTATCATGTTCCCTCACAAAATACCCAGTCAATCCGCTTTACAGTATATTCTATGAAGCGCTTTGAGATGTCTCAATGACGTGGTAAACTGCTATATCAAGTGCAAGCATTATTATTTATTATTCATACGTTCCTGGA